AAAAATCGGCCACTGGATGTAATATATGCAAATTGATTTAGTTTACGCTTCTGTTCAAAGTTAATCCACTTTTTGTTTTAAAATCATACTTGAACATTACATGCAAATTCTTCTGAGCGTTACCTATCTTTACCAAGAGGATCTATTGAAGTTTTTCTTAAATAAGCTACAGTGTGTTGAGTTGGCGATGACTGTATCAAAAAGCGGATTCAGAACAGCGGACTAACAGATCCGCGGATCATATACGGCGACCCAACTAAAAGCTTGCCACTCTATTCCCGATTACACATCGTGTAGATTCCGCGCGCGGATTACGCCACAAGCATTCGAGTGGGTTGACCATATTTGATCCGCGGATCTGATAGTCCGCTGTGCTGAATGCGCTACACGCACACGCAATGACAGCTAACAGATAGTGAAACGTCCAGGAGTTGGGTAATGGGGAGAGGAGCTTGATAATGGGGCCCGTGTTATATTTCCAATACAATCAGGATCAGGTAGATCAGGTCAACATCCTCAGTGTGCACGAATGAAATATAGTGTTTGAATCATTGCGGATTATTCCAAAATAAATTGTTTTTGTCAGATCAAAAATAATAAACGGAAGAACGAAATATATAAATAATATATTATTATAAATATAAATAATATATGTGCAGCAGCACCATCATCTTCAGGTTACCGGTATGGTTATATATTGTCACAACATATAGGCCTTCATTTGACAAGGTTTTGTAAATATTGTAAACTTAAGTCACTCATATTTTAGTCTGAAACTTTTCAATATACATGTATAGTCTGTATTTTGATCTCAAGCATATTTAATACGTATTGAGTGAAACATGTTTATTGTTAAGCGGGTAAAAATATGACTATATATTTCAACTTACTTTCATGCTGTCTGATCAACTGAGAGAAAAAATATATGGGTATTACAAATTATTACAAAAAAGGCGGCCAGTGATGAGGGGCCATCTGCGGGGGCAGAGAACAGAAACGCTACCGGTTTAGGGCGAGATTAGTAGGAGGAGGTGATAACGGCATGGACACCCCCTTAAAAAGGATCAAAAACACCTTCAGGCAAATCGTACAAACCAGCGAGGTAAAAGAAAAAAAGGGGAACATGTTACGAGTCTCATTCGTTCTTGTGACTTTCCGATTCCGGGGCTAGGCTGTTGCTGCGGTGGGGTGACATGCGTCATCCGGGAATTGAACTCGTGACTTTCCGTTACCATGGTTGATGATGGCTTTGGGATTTTTTCCCCACCGTGCACGTTGCCTACTGCGCCGTGACTGGCTCACCCGTACTTGTTTATTTTTTCAAAAGAGATTGAGTTTGATCCTTATTTCAATTTACCAACAGACCTAGGTCAGTTCGACCTTGTACATGTATCAAATGCCCTGTACAGGACCATTTTCATTATTTGTCGGACATAAGGATAAAAGGACACTACAAATGCCCTCAAAAAGGGCCAGAACAGCAATGACAGAACTCGCGTGTACAGGAGAGTCCAGATAAACACGACCTTAATTAAACGAACACAAAACGTGTGGTGGTGACAGTGTAATGCCACGGGGTGGGATTCCCAATTAACATGTCAATTTTTTTTTATCGATATGTAACAAAAGGCCAAAATTATGCCGATTGTTATGACGATTTAGTGTGAAAAACACCATCCAAATGATATCTTAACAGGAAAAAGACCAAATTATGATACCGCATCCAGGCACATCAAATTAAAGATAATAGTCATTAGCTTTGAGAGCAATACTACAATAGATACCTAAAGTGGAAACCCCATCGCATTCCGACATATAATTGCCTTTGGAGATTAACACTATACTTAACCTCTATAATGTCGATATTCTTATTTCCTTCATGATACAAAACACATTAGGAGATAATTACAACAAAAAGCTACTCTCATAACAAAATGGGAAGGTCGTGCGATATAAAAGTAATGGGCTTTGTTGTCCGATCATTTTGATGCACAAGTAGCTTGACAAAGGATAAACAAGGTAAGGATTGTTATTAAATTTTAATTCTGCCTAGGCCAAATTAAAATATGACCATGCAACCAAAACCTGATCAGGTAAGGTTGAAATTGTAAATAGGTAGTAATATTACAAAAGAAATAGAAGAAATACATCATATGCATTGCTTTTTATCAGTAACTAGCAAAGTCAAAATACAGTAGTAGGAACCATTTAATTCACCATAATCCTAGACTTTATGACTGTTTTTGATACATTCCAAAAATAATCTTAATTGTGAGAGGTGGTCATTGTGAGAGGTGATTTAGTGATTGAATCAAAGGGGTGATTATGGCATTCTTTATATCAGATCTGATGTTATATCAGATGTTTAATTTTCCTTAAACTTATTAGTCTTTTAAAAACTACTTTTAAGAACTGCTTTTGCATAATGTATTATACCATTTTAAAATACTGCCTGGCCACAATAAAATCTGAATTGATAAGAAAAATTATACCATATATAGACTAAGAGACAAAAAAAAGGGATTTTAAAATAATTACACTGTATAACAAAGGTAAGTCTTTTTCTGGCAGAGTCTCATTCAACATTATTAATCTGCCAGGGTTTGCCTATAGTCACCCGTTACGTCACACTGACGAATTTGGATACCCCAAATTTAATGCGAGAGGGCAAAAAAAAAAAAAAACCTCTAAATCACGCCCCCACCCCACCCTGTCTTCTTGTGACAGTTATGCTGATGTATTTTGACGCTGACGACGCGGACACCATATTTGCATTCATGCTTGGCGGCAATACAAAAAAATGTGCAGGAGGATCATTTTACAACAAATTCAGCGGGTTTTGCGGTGGAAGATAATCGTGTTTTACAGCAACCCAGGCTTCTGCGGTATTTAAGTAGCCGCAGACAGTGATTTCTGTCAGTTCCGGAGTTTTTATTTGTATTTATAATTATTTTTATATATTCTTATTTTTATTTTTTATCTTTTATTTTATCTATCTGTTTATTTATTTATTTATTTATTTATTTATTTATTTATTTATTTATTTATTTATTTATTTTGAGAACAGGCGAGAATAATGTGCGCGCAGATGCATCCCATAAAACGAAATCAATGTGACCAAAATATAAGACAGAAGAATTAAGAACGAGTTCCCAATAGATTGACCGTTTCAAGATTATTAAGAGTAATACTAAGAATGATGGTTATACACGAAAGACGCAAGTTTGTTTTTTGATTGCATATTTAATATTTTCATAATTGTATTGATTTTAATCTCTGCTCACGCTGAAATGAATAACCTCCCCATCATTAATTTCATTTCTTAACTTAAATTTAACAAGGACAGTATCCTTGTCCAGGTGCGTCTTAACTGGGCTCACAAGATATAGTGCATGCGGTCTACGCGGTTTTCTATCCAAACCTGAACTTCAAGATACATTTCAATGATTGACATGTTTTGAATCATTAGAACTTATCAGCTGAAACATACATGGGCATCATGCGGGTGTGCACGTACAATAGGGCAATGGCAAAACTGATAATACTTAAGCGGGCCTTTTTCTCGAGTTGATTGATTTTCCTAATGTGATTAAGGCGGAAAGGGTGCCACTTGTCTGAGTGCGTGTTACAAAGGTTAATTTGATTTTCCTTGGTCTCTCACTGCCTGATTTCCTTTACTGTATTAATACCGCAGCAGAAGACAGGTGAAACGCGCATCGGAGCTGCACGCGAACCAAAGACTGTAAAAAGGTGAGCTGTAAACGTAGTTTTTTAGATGTTTATCTGACGTGCTCCGTGCAAACATTTGCCTCTCTCTTTTTTTTTTAATTTTGATTCCTGTTATAAATTTATTGATTATACATTACGCTCCCTCACGGTCCCCCAAAGGAAAGTGTAAAAGAACCCGGCATGGCATCTTGAAATTCTTTCTTAAATCCCATAGAGTAAAGTTAAAAGGTAAAATGTTTGATTCCAAATGTATGCTTTTTGCCTGAAATCTTTCAAATGACTGACCAGTCATTTAGAGGTAAATTTCCCTTTTCTAAAATAGATATTAAAATAGATATTAAAATACAATAGTGCTCATATAGTGATGATACCGAATTAACAAATAAAACGATATGAAATATTAAATAGCACTAAAATGATTATGACAATTCTCATAAATAGATTTATAAACTCGTAAGTAAATAATTATATTGATTTTTAAAAAATCGGACAGTGGTTCGATCCTCAAGTTAAAAAATTTACATAAAAATTTTAACTTTTCACCATTGAGCACTAGCTGAGACAAAAAAAATTACATAACTTCAAAGAAATGCATTCGAAGACAACCTGTGTTTTTGTTATATGATCACTCCTGTAATAAGTTTGAAAACAGTAGGTCAACCTCTTTTCCACTTAATGTGATATCTCTATGGTATGTTAATGAACATTTACGCTCTCAATGTAATTCGTAATAGTGGTAGGTCATTTAGATATAAATGCCATATTTTCTTTATTTTTTGTTTCAATACCTCAGAAGAGAACAAAACGATGAAGGCTGTGGCAATCTTTTTACTTGTGCTCGTGAGCGAAGTGTACTGTAGAAATCTTATTGACCTATGTAAGTAGTTTTGCAAACATATGACAACAGAAATGAAAACTTAAATATGTTTGGTGTAACTTTAAGAGAAATGATCATTCAAAAGAAGAAGGCAACCCCAAACCTGATTAATTACAGCTTGAAAGTTCTTTTGAATATCCCTCTGTTGCCATACGTGTACATCCATAAAATATTATTGCTTTAAATTCTGTAGTTTTCTTTTACTATAGAGGGACGATGAATATGGATCAATATGTATGTACATTTTGCCGTAAAGTTACATTCTGAAAACTTCTCTGTAGCGAAATCCGCTTCGCATTGTTTTATTGTATATCCTTAATTAAATTTAACAGTCTGTTCTATTTTAGTGATTCTATATGTGTTGTGATCACGAAAAAAATATATTTACCTTTTCGTTTTATATTTTCCACCAGGGAAGCAGGCTGCTTGCACTGGGGATTTGAAGTGGGGTACCTGTTATTCCGCTTGCCCGCGCGTCTGCGGGGAGCCGGACCCATGGGTTTGCACCCTGCAGTGTGTCATAGGTTGTCGCTGCCCTGAAAACAAAATTTGGGTCTCTCGGGACGGCAACAAGTGCGTGAACAGCAGAGAGGAATGCCTCAGTCCAAAGAGTAGTCGATTTTTACCATTGCTTGAAATAGCATACGTTTATGTACATGGTTATGAAAAATGGAAATAAAAACCATGCTGTGATTATTAATTCAAACTGTTTTGTTGTTTTTAAATATTGTATAAAAATACGATTATAAAACAGAAGATCAATCTCTAGTGTAATGAATACACATGTACGTTTTTTTTCTTTTTTGTTTCCAAGATTAGACTTCTCTTTGAAATGTTGACGCAATTTGGGAGTTCAAACATAATTAACCTGCTCTTTTGGGTTGTTCCCCATGCCTTAGCTATGTGAGTAAAATACTCTAAAAAACATGTTGCTCGATGTCAAATGTCATTCATCTATATAATATATGCTTTTTTTTTCATTTCTCCCATTTATTATTTCTGTTTGGATTTATTTACATACCTCTACTTTATAATCCTCAACACCAAGTGTTTTCATCTAGCGCAGTTCGAAATCTTTCATCACGCTAGTGATCAATCACAAAACTCGTTCTATAACGGCGGAAAGTCGCCGCCTGCAGCTTTCAATGTATTTTCCTTGTACCGAAATACAGACGTCTGTTTTCAGAGATAGAACATGTGCTGGCTCCGTGACTCGTGATCTATTAAATTTATTGTTGCTGCTTATAGTAAAATGCAATTTGATTCGCCGTGATTCCGTGTTCCCCACCCTCCACCTACAAAAATAAAGTGCCTCGTGAAGGATGATATTCATTCTATTGTGATTCTGCACGTAAATCCATTTAATTCTAATAATCTGTTGGTGTTATTTTTGTGTAAATGGTAACCCCCCCTCAGACACGGGCAGTCACGCAAACGCACCACCACCCGTGTGGAATTCTGCTAATCCTATATTCACGGCATGAACTGTTTTAATGTAGGCACATATATTTATTCTTCAATGATGAAATGACCCTTGGAAATAAAATTTCTTCAACATTATCATTTAACTTTTGGTGACTCTCACCAACAGCATCAAAGAGACTGGCCAGTTTTGCTAGTGCAGTACTGTTGGCGGTGACCACAACACGTATTTAACGTGAAGTACAACATTAAGGTATATCAGTGCATTCGGACATTGTCATAGAATCAAAGCAATGTACAACAGCTTAAATCTTCATTTAAAAGATTTGTCATTTCCAAAGTGATTATGAGCGAGAATATTCATTTCAAGATATTTTTTACGCTTCCAAAGATACTGCTGTATGGTGAATTTCAACACGGAAAGCGCACCCTTGGTGGTCAAAAGAAACGCTTCCAAGACACCCTGAAATCCTGTCGCTAAAGGCGTTCAACATCAGCCATAACACCTGAGAGATGTCTGCAGTGAACAGACTAAAGTGGCGTTCAGATGGTCAGTATGGCGCCAAAGCCTATGAAACCAACCGAAGGCAGAAAAACAAAGACAGGTCAGAAAAATAAAAGCAGTACCAGCAAGCCCTTGACAGCAGCCACCATTCCCTGCCCACACTGCAGCAAATCCTTTCGAGCAAAGATTGGCCTTACCAGCGCATACTCAGAACACAAATCAGTAACTCGTGGGATGACTACATGGTCCTCGTCGATCCCGACGGACGAACCACATATGCAAAGTATATGTCACAACCTAGGTTCAATATATTTTGCCTGTTGCGATGGGATAGTTCCTAACTCAAAAATCGGTGTTCATTTAAGTGTACCTGTAATCTGTTTGGTGAAAAAAAAGCCAAATTATGAAAGCGCATCCAGAAACGATTATGTAATATTAAACACACCGTCCAAATGATGATATATAGCGCAGTCATGTGCATGAAATATATCATGATTAATGATCATTATAAACACTGCTCATATTATATGTCCATTGGAAAACCCATTCTGACATATATCCGCCTTTGAAGATGATAACTACACACAATGTAAATATTAGTATGTCGTTATTTTTATTTCCTTTATAATAAAAAACAAATTAGGAGACAATTACAATCAAAGAGAGCTACTCTCATTTCAAAATGGGAAGGTTGTGCGCTATAAAAAGAATGGCCTTTGTTACACGGCTATCTTGATGCACAACTTACTGTGCCTAAGGATAAACAAGGTAAGGATTGTTATTTAATATTTGCATTGGCACCAGAGCATAGAGAAATCTCTTTTAAGACACGTATTTGTATTTATTTTAATTCTTATTGTATTTTATTTCCACACTCGTCTGGACCTATATTCAGAAGAATTTATACTTCAGACAAATGTTCACATTCACGGTTTCAACATGATTCGTTCTACTGGTTGAAAAGTGGATATAAACGTTATTTCCATTTGTATTTGTTTATTTCTATTTTTCAGAAGAGAACAACACGATGAAGGTTGTGGCAGTCTTCTTACTTGTGCTCATGGCTGAAGTGAACTGTAGAACTCTTACGAACGAATGTAAGTAGTTTTGCAAATATATGACAAAACAGAAATAAAAACTTATAAATTGTTTGGCAAAACATTTAAGAGAAAGGGACAGCCGCAAACTTGATCAACTGGAGCTTGATTGTTATTTTAAATGCCCCTTGTATCCTATGTTGTCATACGTGTTTATCCTGAACAATATAATGACTCTAAATTCTGTAATATTCCTGTGGAGTAAGGGGGCTGGGGGGGGGGGGGGAGGTTGCTCATGTACTTGCACCCTATATATTGCAATTAAGTTGCATTTCTTCGACCAATTCTGTCCCTGTGTCCCCCCACTCCACCCTTTAGCGTGGATCTGTCACCCACTGTCTTCATCGTATATCTTTATTTCAATTTATATTTTTTTCTATTATTTAAATGCATTTTTGTTGTGGTGCCATTTCATTTCATATTTCTCACAATAGGGGGAGAACACTATTGTTCTGGGGACTTGGAGTGGAGTAACTGTTATTCCTCTTGCCCGCTCGTCTGTGGGGAACCAGATCCATGGATTTGCGATCTGATGTGTAACGAGGGGTGCGGTTGTCCTGGAGACAAAATCCGGGTCTCTCGGGACAGCGACAAATGCGTTGACAGCAGAATCGAATGTCTTTAGCCCAAAAAGTAGCTACTTTTATCACAATGGTGCCATTTTCAGAAAGTGCATACGATTATGTACACGCATATGAACAAATGGAAATAAAAACCATTCTAATATTTTTCAAGGTGCTTTGTAGTTGGATGTGATTATAAACACGAAGTTTTCCCAAGCGTACAGAATACACATGTACAACCTTTCCTTTCTATTTATTTTTTCAGTAGCTTGAACCGAACTGTTGGCGTAATTTTGAAACCACCTGTCAATAAAAGAATACGTGGATTAGTTGTCTTTACGCTGGTGTTTAAACTTTAAAAAACTTGCTCTTTTGGGGTTACACATGAGGATTCCTATGTGTTCAACTGGAGAGGACCTTATCTAAGATAATCATGTGTACTGACACATTCTAAATAGGGACATGTAAGACGGGAACTTGAGTGGTGGCTTTTAGAATAAACAATATCACTGGTGAGATGGGAGTTGGGGTCTGCAATGATTTTTGTATATTAGGTGATAAGCTCTTATTTCACAAATAAGTTCTGTTTGTCTAATATAATACATATTTTAAAACATATTTTAAAAAACTATTAAGTGAAATATATACATTATGTAATAGTTTATTCAACGCCACTTAAACTTACAGATGACACGGGCTCCCACATACTATAGACCAATTGTGGTTTTTAATTTAAAATACCGCGTAAGAGAGAATATCAAAGGCCACACGTTTTACTTTGTGCATATTTTTCTCTGCAAAATCTTTCATGAAATTTGTTCCCAGTCATCTTCAGCACGTGCTCATTAAAATATGTCTGCCGGGTATTTACCGCTTCTTGGATAATAAATATGGAATAAGCGCGCAAAAACGGTAGGTATCTGGAGGATTTTTAAAGCCTGGCGGAAGTTAAACGTTTTTATTGATTTATGTTTCCATATTTAACCCTTTTTTTCTTTTAAAACATTTAGACTTTGGCTGGGTTCACCTTACTGCTACAGACAAATACCAGGGTTTAGATATATGTGAGCAGCTTCCACCAGTAGAGTTTAAAAAATTCTGTTCCATTTATCCTTTTATTATGAAGATTATGAAGATCGATGTCACATGCACATAGAATTCAACTAACTGACACAAATGAGAAACACAAGAATGGGAAATTCGGCCATACAGGTTTTTTCGTAACTGTACAAAAGATTCAATTTCCATGTAAATGTGATTTTTATTAGACAAACATGTTTTCATTTTTTCCATTTAATGGAAACCGTCACCATAATTGTTAGCATCATGGTAAAAAGCAAATTACTGGACCAGTTAAAAATGTTAACTATCTCCCAATCCGTATGTTGCTCAGCTACTTGCGACGAAGTGGTTGACCCTTAATGACGCTACTATAGTAGTTAGGTCCCGCCGTATGACCATTGTACGTTCCGTGAATACATTAATTAAAGATGATTATTGTTAATCATAATACTTCTATGCGTGAAAAAGAAATAAGAATATTCAGTAACAATTTATTGTTTCTCTACCTTTTTGATATTTTCAAATAATGTCTATTTTTTTTTCTTCTACATATATTATCTGAATGATTGTGACGTCATCTCGATTCAGGGGTACTATACAAGGTATCAATTGAGGATTGCTCAATTGAGGATTCTCTTTGATAGAGTATTAAAGCGGAACAGTAAAATAGAGGCAGTTATATTTAAAAATAATAAATAAACTTTATTGAGATACTGCAACCGCGAGGATTGAAGTTATGCATATATTTATCTAATTCCCAATTCAAATAAAGCCTAGTCATTTTGCCCCTGTTGCACACTACTAAGTTATCGCTCTCGCCTCTCTGGGGAGGATACAGCCCGGCTGCAGTATTAGGCACTCAGAGCTAGCAAACATACCATTTCTCCACTACCAGACCAGGCCCCTGCTTCAGCCCCTTAGGGCTGAGACAGCAGGTACCGTTTATAAAGGACTAGCATGTCCCCGGACGGCCGGTCGAACCCACGTCATCCCACTCTGGAGGCTAACACTCTAACCATAAGGCCATCCGGTCGGTCCTGACCTGAAAGCAGTTGATGAGGCGGTATGAGCTAGAATGCCGGCAGCATAAAAATTCTTTGTATATTCCTGGATATTCGAAGTGCATTCTAAAAAATCTGAATTTATTTCAAACATTCTGGCTTATTTTTGTGATCGGTTCGAATTTTAGTATTTCGGTTCTCCGTCGAATGAAAATAAAAAGTTTCTAATGCTGTTGGAATGCCCTAGGTGGAATGCAGTCATAGTTCAGTTAGAAAACAAGTAGAATACAATTCCCTATTTCTCCACTTGGAATGTACCATGAAAGTTTTGAGTATGAGAAAAACGTTGGGGCCGACCACAAGTATGGACATGAATATTGTAAATGCACTCAGATTTTCAGATTGCTTTAACTTGGAATATCCTGTTGGAATATATAATATTAAGAATGTCCGTACCGAAGGCATTTTAACTCTAGTGTGACAGATAGGGCCTATTTGTCTGATAATATAGAGTGGTTTAAAGTTAAAATAAACGTCGTGCACACTATGTGATGTGTTACGATCAATCGATCGATAACGCTTCATAAATTTGGTATTAATTCAAACAATACACAATAGCATTTAACCAATTTAAAAACAGAAATTTCTAAAGAGCTTTTCAGCCTGACAATGTATCTCAAGATGTTTTTGTTACTACCAATTCGGCATATTTTATTTTCTGTGTGACAAATAAACGTTACATGTAGGACCTAGGATTGTTCGTGTATAACCATTAATACTAAATATACCATTTCGTGTATAATTCCAGACTATTTTTATTAGGTTTTAACATTTAAACTATAACATTTATGTTGGATAAGGGTGCAATTTGTCTGGGTGTGAAAAGGTCTAGTATTTAGGTAACGCATCCAGGCACATCCAATTAAATAAGTGGATAGTTACGACGATTCAAATAAGATAAAAACCGCCCAAATGTTATTTAAACTGCTCCAATAATTTGCTTTTTGGGAAATAAAAACAGAAATTGCTGTAATAATGACGAAAACCTTATTACCTTTGCGCGAATGGTAAAAAAACAAATTGGAAGAAAATTGCAGAACATGTAATTCTTATTTCCAAATATGAAAGTATTTGCGCTATAAAAGGAATAAACCTTGAGACCCAGTCATATTGCTGCTCGACTTGGCGTGGGACAGACAAGGTAAGAAATGTTGTTTCAGATTTATAGACGTTGTGTGTATGAAACGTGGAAACCTGATTCAACCAATCTTTCGTTTGAGGGAAACTGCAGGTACTTGAAAATGAGCAACATGTTGTGTTAAAAAATGTTACATGTCTCTAGCGCAAAAAATAAATAATAAAATAATGCCCTCCTCGTATTTAACAAAAGTTTTTAACAGATGTCAAATGTGTATAATCTATGCTAAATTTTATTCCATATGTAAATAACAAAAATATTATTTAGACACTCAACCGAACATATTACGATTGCTATTAGCTATTATTTTATTTTATTTGTTGATTTTTTTATCCTCTAGAAGAAAAACAATAATATGAAGGCTGTGGCTGTCTTCTTACTTGTAATCGTGGCTGAAGTATACTGTAGAGTCCCATTGAAACCATGTAAGTGGTTTTACAAATCTATGGTAGCTTAGGGGCCATCCCCAACGAAACAATCGTTCATCGTAGATCGATCCAACTCCACAGGGACTCTCGCTGAATGCAATCAGATTAACAGATTTATACGCCTACTCTTATTTCATGGTATAACCACCAGTTTGCCTTTAATCTACTCAACGTCAGGAGGAGGAAGCGCGTTCATCTGTTAATCTGATCGCATTCAGCGAGAGTTCCCACGGAGTTGGATCGATCAACGTAGAACGATAATTTCATTGGGAATGAAGCCTTAGATGATCCCTAAAAACTTGTTCGGCTTAGCAGTTTCCTTTTCAGGGACTTCTCTCAACTTGATAAATCGTAGATTGAAAGTTCTTAGTGCTATGTAGATCAAACTTGCTATCTAGTTGCATATGAGAGTAGATAATTTATATTTACATTTTGTGCGTAGCTGATACGCTAGGTATCACATATGTTTTCACTTCTTATGAATTCTTATATACCCTTCGTCATCGCTTTGAAAATACATGTCACCCCTCGCCTACCCTCCTCCCCCCCCCAAAAAAAAAAAAAAAGATTAAAAAAAAGTATAACGAAACGAAAAAGGCAAAGCCAAAAGAACATTCCATCCATATTCCCCTTAGTTCTGCACTAAAGTTGAGTGTGTGAACCCTGGACCTAGTTACCAGTATTTTCCTCACACTTATTCTCCAAATTTACCTACAGATTTTAATGTATCTACATGCATTCCATAACCTCAATTGACCTGTGTATTTGTTCATAGAAATTTCCGTTTTCATTCCATATTTGTCCCAGGGGTGCCTCCTGATTGCCCCGGAGACTTGAAGTGGAGCAATTGTTATTCCGCCTGTCCGCACATCTGTGGGGAGCCCGAAGGATTTCCAAGGAGATGCACTATGCAGTGTGTCATCGGATGTGGCTGTCCTTACGGTCAATATCGGGTCTCGCGAGACAGCAACCGGTGTGTTCCCAACAAAGAGGCCTGTCCTAAATCCAAATAGAAGCCTATACTGGGCACTGTCCATCGCAATGGCTTTTTTTTTTTTAATAAATACTGTACCTAGACGCACGGTATGTCCAGATTAATGGAAATAAAAACATACTAGACCTATTAAAGCGGCTTTGTTGTTGAATGAAGATTTTCTTTCCTAATTTATTTATTTTTTTTTACTTTCTATTTTTTATTCGTCAGGGATGTATAAGTTTGGCGTTATCCAGGTGCCACGCGTCGTTAACAGAATATGCAAACTAATGGCATTTACTCTGGTGGTCAAACTTAATTAAGTTTTTTTTTAAGTTATACGTGAATTTTTTTCTGAGCTTAACAGCTGTTATGCTATCCATCAAAAGTTTTTCTAAGTTGCTGTTGTCTTCTTTTAATTCAGACAGATGGTGATTTTTTTATCCAATTTGCACTGACACCTAATTATATAACTGACATCTAATTATATAACTGACATCTAATGTACATAAATGTTTGTCAAATTAGATATGAAATTAAAAAGATAAATACGTGCGTCTTTAAGTTCACGCAAGCTACAAATCCATCTTTAAAAAGACAACGTAACTCAAACTCAAACAAAAATTGTGAACACAATCTCGCTTTATTTAAACAAAATTTCACCTCCTGTGCCTTTGAACATGCCCTATTAGTATCGTTATTTGGACGATGTACATGTAGTTGCAGGTTACATTTTTTTATTCACCTATCTTAGTTTCATTTAGTAGGTCTAATGTCCAAACTTTGACCATAAAATGGACTGCAGTTGTTTAACTCAACGCAATCAGCTGCTTTATAAAGGTGTCTCACCTATAGCAATACATCTCAACCTGACTAGACTAAAATCGTTGCATTTGGTGTTCAATCGCCATCCACAGTGGATGAAAGCGTTATATTATCATTTGCCATCAAGATCAACATTTCTGTACCAAAAACTGAATCCCTAGCACAACTGTTTGTAGAGACGGGGCTGGGAATGGGAGACATTGTGACGTAAGCAGATCCAAACAGGTGCACAGATAGTATGTGAATTCTTCCCTTACCGCTTGCACAAACGGATGCATTTTTTTTCAGCAACCATCCCTAACGATGTGAGGACAAAAGTACATTTCTCTCCACACTAGAGAGGGCAAGCTATGGCAACAGTTCGAAGTTTCAGTAAAGACGCATCGATTTTCAATCTGATTCAGTAGCTGTTCGAACTATGCAGTCTTGGCAGAAAAGACTGATTTTTATTCTGTCATATACAGAATAAATGTGATTTTCAACTTTGTCGTGTTCAGATCCATTACGCTTGACTCTGCACAAGTCCAATCCAAGTCTTTTATCGGTTTCTCAGACTGTAAGAAGAGACTGATATTACGCCATTAGAAAGAAATCAATGGTCTTATGTTGACTTAATGTGTTGCCTAAATTGCTACTTAATGACACAATGTGACAACGTATGGGGATTTAAAGATTCCGACGCTCGTTATCTAGCCTTCACTCTTCTAATTTGTGTCTGATATGTTCTCCTTTATCTTTTTCAATGTTTTCATTACAAGTATATGCCTCCCGTTCCTTCTTATTTGTCTAACCAATGGTCTATTTGTCTATACTGCCTTATGTAATTATTCTCTTACTGGCTTTTTTTTTCAAGACAGACACGTAATCGATTTAGATATGAATTGAAGGCTGGGTTTCCTGAAAGATGGCGCCTTGAGTGAGATCAATTACAAACCGAGTGTATTTTTCAAATTCAATTTTGACACACCATTTGTCACGAGGTAAATCGCTGCATCCCCTTCAGTTCCTAGAAATGTCAACTTCGGTGTCATTTGTTTGTTTGTTTGTTTGTTTTTTTGCATTGTTTTTTGTTTAAGTTTGTTTGTTTGTTAGTTAGTTTGTTTTTTGTCAAAAATTATGATTGGCAATGTTTGATTTTATAGAAGAATCGAATCTCTTCCTAAGGATACAAGTCACGTAAGCAAAGATGAAAAAAGAGTTCATGATTTTCTTTGGATATGCATTGATGATTCACGGAAAAAAATTGCAGAAAAATACCCTAATTATATATGTAAAAACGCGTTTGCTTTATAAGGACCTACCACGAATGGGAATCTTTGGAGAAAGTCTAGCGATTCATTGTAAAATCAAGCGCTATTATGATGAATTTGGAGAAGAGTGGAGTCAGAAACAATGGCAGATTAGATTTTGTGGTGCGGCAACGACTTAAAGCTGGCAATTTTAACTATGGTCTTTTTCTTGTGGTTGGTTTTGGATTGCAGCCTTTTCATCAATTGCAAATATTCACCATGTTTTTAACGATACATATCCTGTTTCGTTTTCTAGAACATCATTCCCTGCGCATAGAATTTCACATCTATTGCATAAAGGCAAAAACGTCAATTCGACGTCCTTGTTTAAGGTAATCCCGGTTTCGAGTAGCACGACACACGTTTTCTAGTAACCTTTTCTAGTCGTATTTGAACGCTTTTGTGTTTCACTACTTGGTTTAACAACTGCCATCTGCATTGAAAGTATGGTACGGTAGGTCTTTTCAACTGATAAATCTTTGGTAAAATTTATTTTCTGGGAATCTTATGGACCAGAGATAGCGTTTGACCTTTGTCGTTTGAATCTGAAGTTTGAAACAAATAAATAAATAAATAAATAAATAAATAAATAAATAAATAAATAAATAAAATCAATTGTTTTTTGTTAGTTCGTTTGTTTTGGTTTGACGTGTTTTTTTTTTTTCGGTGCTGTATAGTATAGAAATCTTTTTCTCATAGCAACGTGCTAGCATCTCATGTCGTTTACTTTATACCTCTGATGTTTGTGTAATGCCAGTTATCAAAAACCAACTAATCGCTCTCAGCTGTGCCGAAGATTGATAACCTCCCTTAAGGGAAACTGGTGAAAGCAAATCAAAATTTCATTTCGCTGTTGCCAAACTTGTTGATTGTGAGCTTGGTGGAAGCTAGCTCTCATCTGCTGTCACCGGGCAGCACCGTAGGATTCAGGGTTCTTTGAGACTCACTTCTCCGTAAGAGTCAGGTTGTGGAACAGATGCGACAGCGGGCATTTTCTGCATGATGTCAGAAGTAGTTTTACTTTAAGCCTTATAAGCCAGGGTTTTCCCGCCAAAAATTCTTATTTATAGAATTTTACAGGGGTAAACGGCATTTCCCCCGACTAACCAGCCTATAATCTCTCTTTTCTGACACTCGCCATAACTCGCCGCAACAATTTTGGAAAAAGCAAAAGATCAAAACCCACGCTTAATCGCAAGTTTTTCAAATTCACCATTCATTCCATGACTCGACTTTGGGGTATCGAGAGACGTGACCTGATTCATTTGAAACCTGTATCAAGATAGTTAACTACCGAGGTTGGACAGGGAAGCCTTGAGCAAATTATGTTTGTTTTGACAAGGTATCTGCTCTCAGTGTTGACAGCGGACCTTTTAGGTTTGCCAAATACATTTATTGTGGGACGATCATTCTTACACACTCTTGGATCGATATTGCAAAGTTTCTTTTGCGTTGTCTGCATGAGGAATTTACCCGTCCAAAAACTTGACACTTTTTGTGAAACAGGTTCCCAGAGTGAAGATTACGCAGATAGTTAACATGTGTGTAGAAATCAACAGAACGTGGCTCACCTGAGTTCCTAGAAACCAATCTTTATTATTGATAAGACGTGAGATATACATGATGAATAGGGGGTGGTTTCATGTAGCCAGAGAACTAAAATTGAGCGCGATCTGGTGAAAACCAAAAAGAAATCCGATTTCAAACACTGATGATTTTTACCTTGATTATTGTTATTCAAAGCAGCGTTCTAGCCTTAAGCCACGGTTTTTGTCCTTCTGTTATGCGTTGCACTTCATTGCAGGTAATTTAAGTATTACGACATCAGTTTCGAATATTCTGTGAAAGCTTCAAGACCTTTGTAACGGTTTTTTAGGGGAAGGGGAAGCATGATATGATTATTTTTCCATGATGTTTTATAGCATGATCATAAACATGTACAATAAATATTTTCACAATAGCGTTTACGTATTTTTCCATTCATATAAACACGAAAACGCGTAGAAACAGCTAGACGCACTGACATAGAGATTTCCCAGTGTAATATACAATGGAAACATGTCGAGTATGCCTTAATATACTGTTTGTCTGGCGGGCTATCCCCATTATTCCAAATTTTCATCTTCAAGGAATTTCAGCTGACTACATGATTTAATAGACGTGTACACAACAGATGTCTCCGTCCACCGTTACCTCCCTCTATCGACATTTTCCAAATGTAAACAAACTTATCGTTGTTATTCGTGTATTTCTAACTGTATCTTGAGACTGTCTCTAAGGGGTTTGTATTGTAAACTGGATTAAGGTTTCTAAGAAATTAGATCAAGGCAAACAAGGTTATTCCCAAGCCCCCCTCCTCACATCCCTTTGATCATAATGACGAAGTTTGGCTTAACATATATATCGGCACCTTGGATTATGCAGCATAAATATTAAGAATATTGGACAGAGTTCGTCTTGAATTTTGAGAAAATTGCGTGCAGATGGTTCAGTCTGATAAAACAAGTAGCTTGGAAGAAAAACAGATATGCAAGAAAACCGAATGGCAGCAGTATTTGTAAAAGGTAAAACCGACAAATTGCTAGAGGAAAATCATTCTGTAAAACAGATTTTGATCAGGTTGACACACGTTAACTCGACTTGGCAGATAATTTTCACCATTCATAATCTTACAGATCATTGCAAACCTGCTCCTCATACAATTTAAGGGATGTCTGGATCATTTCCAATACACACTGTGACATATATTTTGCTGTCTCTCTCCAGTCGGCATGAAGAGCTTTTTCTAACCTTCTTTTCTCTTATACTTGACTTATTTTTAAATGACATATGTAAGTCATAAAAATTTTATTGAATAACAAAACTCATCATATTGTTATTAAATAATATAGTCTGCAAGTCAGTGGCTCAACAATAAATTCAAGCGAGACCTTATTTCAACAATTCATTTTCATTATTCATATAACAATATGAGGTTATTATACCTTATGGTATAGGCCTATAACAAGCGTAAAAAATTGACCTTGTTTATGTAAAGGGCGCAAATACCATAAATAAATAAATAAATAAATAAATAAATAAATAAATAAATTTGTCGTGGCCGATTCTGTTCGGGTCAGTCATTTTATATTTCAAAGGCAGTGGGACATTTACATTTGTCACCTCTTTAGCCCGTACCACCAGTTCCGCCTGAATCCATTTCAACTAGTGTATTGTTGTTGGCGCAGAAATAAATATTTTGCCATTAATTGCATCTTTCCTTTATTTTCCTTATCTTTCTTATATTCACATCTTTTTTTATTTTATTTCGCTTATTCATTTATCAATTTTTGCGTGAATTTCAGAAAAGCAAATAACGGTCATTTCTTAATCACAAATAAAAGAATAAGGAATCATTCTTTTGAGCTATTTAGCTTTCATCAAACTGATTTGCTTATGGTTACTGTGATCGTCACACGTACTACATGCCCTTGCAATATTTTTATAACATTATCTGTGATATTCTAACTTTTAGATTTAACGAATCCCGTTTGCCTTGCACTTTGGTAGAGAAACAGTATTAATAAAAACGTGAACGTAATCGTAGGACTTAATCAGAAGAGCACAAACGCCTAATTGTAGAAACATTTTTGGTATACAAAAACAACTCTCTCTCTCTCTCTCTCTCTCTCTCTCTCTCAGATATCTATGAGTTGTGCTTACACCCAAAAGTATTAACGTGACTGCTCTTTCACAGATGTGCATTAGTCGCATGCTTGTTAGACACGTCTGAAAATGTTGAACACATTGGATTGCTAAAGAATATATTACCATTTATTGATACAGATGCATTAGTCGCCCGTCATTACTGAATAAATTGTTTCCAGGGAATCTTAGCGTAAACAAAAAAGATTGCCCCCCTATAATCGTCAATGTTGCGATGAATATTCCCAAAGGTCTGACCCCGATCTTTAGATGCTTCTTGATTAATGCGAAATTGATGTGTAAAAGGTATAAGAGGTTAGGGATAAGGCTTTCTTCTGCAGTTATCTGCTTGCCCTTTGTGAATTAATGACTCCACGGGGGCTCTATGCGAAGACGTGTTCCGTTTTGGAATGCCAATATCGGGTCTCCCAATGCTCTTTGAAGAAAGGGAATCTAGGAAATTAGAGTTGGCGAAAACAAGGATTCTCCATTAATTTAGCAGGTATCTATTTAACAGATGGGGGTTCAAAGGAGTAATAGGCTGCAAATTACAAAATGGATAATCATGCAGTTTGTGTAAATCTTGGAAATGAGGGTGACCTTTAAACGTCCTTGCATTGTTGGGCAAAAGCTTGGTTGGCACCAACGGGGGTCTGGGATTGTACGTATCACTAGCAAAGAAGTGAGGCAAAGAAGAGAGTGATAAAGAAATTTTTCAGTAAATAAATTGGGTATTGGAACATTGGCAATTTTAAAAAACAGGCCTACAAATTCTAATATACCAATGATGCCAAAGACCGTGTCAGTCCAACTGCAAAATCCATGTAAATGTGGAAATGCGTCTTTGACAATGTAATAGAGGAAAATAATGCGTTATAATCTAAAGTAGTCTAAGAGCTGCCAAGTGTTTCAAGGAAATCTTAGAGGATGCGATATGTGCTTCATGAAAATAATCTACATTCATTGATGGTGCTTGCAAGAAGAATACCTATTGAACCCACTATGCGCTATTCATGGTAATGGTATCGGTACCAAGACGGTCATTTGCGTTTGATATATGACACATTTAACATATACTTAGTGTCTTCACAGAGGCTTCGTAGCTCAACAGTGTTATTTTTCTCAGTGATTCATTGCGACTTCACTGCGAGAGAAAGAAAAAGAATTATTAAGAGAGCGAGTCATGCCTGAAATCGATAATTCAACTGTTTATTCCATAGAAAACAGGTGCGTGCCCGTTATGTCGCTTAATCACCCGTCTTACTGAAATCTGCGAAACGTATGAGCGGCATCGAGCGAAAGGTACCACAGATTAACTCGTCAGGATACACCAGTTAAGTGGAAAATGACATCACTGAAGTTCGAAGGAAACAAAGCACTGCACAAAGGTTGCGCATGTAATTGTTTATTGTCTTGAAACCGCAGGATTTTATAGCCCTAGGATGGTTAGCGTGACTACCGGCAATAAGTATACACCGCAATGGCCTTTTGAGAAAAGACTGTGGCATTTCAGAGGGTCATGGTAGTGTGGATAGAGTGCACACTGGGCCACCTGATTGGAGCTACTTTATACAGGTGTTTGCAGGTGATCCGAAACACTTGAAGTGCCACAGCATTTTACCACTGGAACATTGTATGCATAGAGCAGGTGGCTTGGCCAGCCGTTGCTTTCTCTTTCACTGCTTTACATTGAAATGCATAAGAGAGGGTGATAAGACATTGAAAGTAAGTCATCCTAATTTTGATTAATCTAGCCTCGGGATGAAGAAAGATCTACTAGCAGCGACGTAAACGGACTCCGCACATTACTTACCTTTGTGCATTTTACGTTTTTTAACCGATTTCTTTGCTACAAAGGACAACGTATCACCATCGAAGCCCATGAACATAGATACATGTAGCTTCTTCAATTGGTTGATGTCATACCCAGTACTTACAATGAACATTTCCTCGGTGAGCAGTAAGTAATACACTAAAAGAACAGCTGATATGCACATTAGCATATACTTATACCACATGTACGACACATCTGCACTGTGCTCGGTGCACGCCTGGCTATTGTCATGAATGATTGCCATTAGCTAGAAGCCTGGACTAAAGAAATTCGCTGAATCAGATTAACGTACTCCGCATAAAAGCCTAGTTTCCAAGCAGTTGCTGCGCCGGCTTGCACTCACTCAACAACGCGTTTCGAGTACCTGAACATCAGAGATTCTATTTTCTGCATTTCAGCATTTCTATTTGCTGCGCTTAGTGACACAAATAGTAGCATTGCCCGTAATGCAATGATAGATGTCGGGGCTGATTTTGCAAAGTTGCGCAGTGTATAGATACCGTATCAATGGCTGGCGTTGGCTCAAGACCGGTTCGTAAAACAACACCAGACGAACTGGCGTGCCCGATATGCCAGGAGATTTACAAGCAACCCAAGGTTCTACCCTGCGGACACACATATTGCAAGACCTGTCTGGAACAATGGATTCAGTCAAACAAAACCTCCCCAAAGCACCTGACGCGATTCCCTTGCCCATGGTGTAGAAAGGAGACCCCCTACCCCAGAAACGGAGTGGAGGAATTCGCCACAAATTTCGCTGTGCAGGGCCTGCAGGAGAGAATGGTGTGGAGGAGCATTTCTGAAAAATCAGCTGAAAACAAAGGTGATGATTCCAGCGCTCGTGGCCTATCAAAACCGGTTGTTACCAATAATAGTGGTCATAATTCCTATTATCGAACAAACTGTAGAGGGCGGCAGTATGCCTCGTGCGGCCATGAAGATCGCTTGACCCTATTTTGTCACCAATGCCAGGTCAGTTTGTGTGCAGACTGTATTGATTCGCATATAGGGCACGTTTTTGTCAGTCTTAAAAAGCGGCAAGCAATGGACGACCTCAAGACGGAATTTGATAAACTGAGCACACAACTACGGGACAAAGTGGAAAATGTGCAAGAACTGCGAGATCGATATTTAGAAACAAGTCGGGTTATGGAAACCTCAATAACCGCTGCGACAAAGTCGGTAATGAAGCGGATTCAGACCATGAAAAGAACGCTAGAGGATATCGAAAAAGACCTCATGCAGGAGATTGAGTGCGCGCACACGAAAGAATTAGAGGAATGGGAGAGACGAATAGATGATATCGAAGAGAAACTCGACAACGCCGAGGGCAGCGATGCCTACCAGGCGGCAAGGAGATTAAGTTATCAGGACTTCAATTCGCCTGAGGAGCTGTCCCAGAAGATTCAGCAGATGCGCCATCGGCTTATCAACTTATCGACGGTCAAAGCCATTGATGCCGCGGTGCAGGTCGAATTCCAACCGGCAAAGATCGATCTTTTAGAGAGAGAGATAAGACTCCTCTGCGGCCACACAGCCGTGTGTTATAAAAAGATACTTACGTCCTCAGCAGAGCCCCCCAGCGATTTGATCGATTCCAGAAAGTTTATGAATAGCTTGTATTTAAAAACTGTCAGAATACTTAGGGACGCAAGCCGGTCATTTGGGATCACAGTGGCTGCCGCTAACGACCGTACGAAACCAATGCGAGTAGTAAAACTGTCTGCGTACGCGAAAGACACTGGGTTGAATCTCGGAGACGAAATTCTCACGATTAATGGCGTTCGTACGGAGGGGATGATGCAACAGGAGACGTATGACCTCACGCATGACGCCGACCAGCTCACTTTGACAGTGATGTCACACCAGAAACTGTCGACGTCACATCCGACCACGCCCACCAGAAAGTGGGAAAAATTGAGATGTTTTTTTACTCGCGGTTCCGGCACTGGGGGAAATGGCACAGCCGAGTGACTTCCAAGCAAAAAATGAACCACAGAAAAGTGCCATTAAACTTTTAACGTGTCTTATAAGGGGTTGTTTTGAAAAAAGTTTTGGAAAAAGGAACAAGAGAAAAAACTATATTGCCTTATGACCAATGATGCAGTGTTGTGACTTATAATTGTCATTTTAGTACTTCCTATGCCAGTGTTTGCTTATTTGTGATGAAATTTAAGAGGGAAAATGAAAGCAAGCTGGTGGCTTTATTTTATTTTTATGAAAATCTACATAAGATGTTTGTATAATAATATGTCTTCAGTAGAGCGTGAATAACACCTTTAAATGGAGATGGTGAAAAGGGGAATAAGTAAAAGAAAATGAAAATGAGCTTTGTTTTATTTTATATGTTGAGTCATGCGTACATGACATTCATGAAGAGTCGACGCAGTTGTAAAACACGCACTAGAATGTGATTTTACTGTTGGAACTTGGTTGGCAACAAAATTCTTTTTCGCAACAGTTTGACTCTTGTTGACAGTGACACGTGTTTCATTCACATTTAACCGACAGCATAAACTTTTTTGTATTAAAAAGTGATATTAGCTACAAACAAATGCTTTTTATCAACACTTAACATTGTACATGCAATTTCAGTTATTAAATAAGTATCCACCATACAACCGCCGCTGAAGACGGGATGTTGAAGTACAATAACACATGGTGTGGGAGGAGATATAAGTTCGAAAATAATTCGCGATACGCTTGGCATTCGGAACTCCATCTACGGTGCATTTATACTAATGGATGCCCCCCTCCCCTCCCCCCCCCACACACACACATACATCCCCAACCCCAAGCCACCTCACCCCCTCAACCCCGTTTACTTCTGCGTTCAAGATTGGTTGAGAAAACTGGAAGATGGCATATTCTTGGTATTCATTTGCGTTTTAGCTCAGCACATTTCCTCACTGAAACTGAAGGACGGGACCCCTCTTCTCCAGCCTAATTCCTTTGCTTTTTTGCCGCCTGCTCCCTCTCCCTCCCGCTGTAAAGAAGCTATGCTCCCTTTTTTCTCATTAGGCATATGCCAATATACCAAGTGCCTTTTGAGAAGCATATCAGCAGTAAGTGGAACTCTATTACTGGTATTCCGAAGCTAATAAAACTCAGGTAAATAATTGATCATCGGCATTTGCGATGCAACAGAAACAGGTTTTGACGTGCCAAAAATCCAACGATACTAGAGGGAGGATTCGTGTAGCATTCTATGTCAGCGCTACAGTAGTTGAAAATCTCGAATTACAATATGTCAAGTGCTGATACATATATGAAGTAAAACATATGTCCAAAATATGCCTTTAAAATCACCATAATTACGTGGAGAAACATACCGAAAAAGGTTTGATTGGCATTTAAGATAAAATCTTAAATATGGGACATTTTTAATGATTATATCTTCGAAGGCGGGGTAACAAGTAATGAGAAGTGACAGACCAATCCTTCTAACCATGTAGGCTATTGATTTTTCCTTTATGGTTTAATCTCTCTGGTAAATAGGGAAAAAAAACTGAAATTCATTTGGGGGTGAAAAAAGTACGCTTTCAGAATCGGACATGCTTCTTGCTGACAAAAATGTCTTGACAGATGCCTTACATTTAGTTTAACCCTCTGATGGTGGGCGTGGTTTTCCGTTACTGATAGGATAACTAATAGAATATACTTTGGATATAAAGGTACGCCACCCACCAAGTGCATGAGTTTCGATCGCATTTTCCTTGAAAAATTCATTTTTGCTAGTTAATGTACCTTTCCGTAGATTGCAATAGAATGGCCACTCAATCCCATGTTCTAGTAATTGTGTTACAATTTGTAAGATTGCAGTATTCGTTTATTAATTAAATAAAAGAACGTTATTTCATGTTATATATCATACAAGGCACGTTTAAGAAAACTGTTCACGTAGAATTTTCAGGTTTACAAGGAAAGGAGTTCTTAGGAAAATTTTTATGAACATATTGTACAAAATTAACAGCAGTTTTATTGCTGGTTAATACAGAGAACATCGGGTGACATTTATTGTATGCATGATAATTTGTCAAATATCAAAATAAAAGATTATTGCTGCATTATGTACAGTGTAGGGGTCCATGTTCCACCCTACCCAGGTTCTTCTAACATTTTACCTGTCACTGATGCATGGGAGAGGGAATATAACCACAGACTCACATATTCAGTTCCAAGTCTAAAAGTCCTTTATTAAGTCCAAGCATTCAGCCTTTATACACACTATCTCCCGAGAATCTATCTGCATGCCACAGTGGCAGCAACTCATTTAAATACTAATTGCAATGCAATAGATAACAATTGAGGGCTTCTACTTTTAAGTTACATCAGTTCTACTTATCAGGTATACCTATACAGAGGATGATAAATATTCATTCAAGACTGAAGTAAGGTGAATGATAATATGCTGACTGATTACAAGTATAAACATAATATGTAAATGAGTGATTTCAACACATGCATTTAGTGGACCTTAACAACAGGTCTTTCGTAAACTGTTCTAAACTTTACGGCCAAACCGTTATCTATTTCAATTAAGGATTAATCCACATTAGGATACTTAAATGAAGTATTTGCCTGAAGCGTTAGCCACAGCTTTCTCCTTATTTGAAAGGTGAAATAATTTACCTGTTTTATTACAAGGAATGAATTTATCCTTAAAAGCCTCGACATCTTTGCACTGTTTCAAATAAACATTATTATTATTATTATTATTATTATTATTATTATTATTATTATTATTATTGCTAGTATCAGACCAAGAAATCGTCTATGTCGATCAACCCCCCCCCCCCACCCACCCACCCAAGAGTTTTTAACAAAATTTTTTTCAGATATGTCCATCTTTTTATAGGCATTAACACACCCTTTTTATCATCATTACATTTTCAAAAGTATCACGATGCCAAGTTAGATGTCCAGACCAAATTAACCTTTACGCATATTATGGAACATTCTTTTTTTTCTGAAACAAAACTTAAAACTCGTTTTTCTCATCTGACAAAAGAAAAACAGAATTTCCTCGGAAGATTAAGTACCAAATGTTACACATTTATAATAGCTGCGCTAGATTATTATTCTTTTATCAAAGTGAAATTACCATCTCTTGCTAAACGGCAATAAGTAATATCTCTCGGTGGCATTCCTGCAGTTCGCTTAAAGTTCAAAGGATCCCTGGGCGAAAGGCAATTGGTTCCAACAAGGAGAAAAATGAACCATTGCTGCATGGAAGTGCTGTTCCTCTGTGATTGCTTTATGCTTGATGCACAGTGAAAACAGAATTTGAAAGGAGAGACAAGTGCACCTAGTGCATGTAGCACTAATTCTGTTTAATGAAACACACTTTATCTACCCCAAAACAATTAACGTGTTCCTTGTGGAGTATCAGTCGTGACAAGAGAAGTTCGCAAAAATGTTGCATTAGAACGAAAAAAACGTTTTGATACAGCTAGGGTATGACTGATCTTTTAATTTATTATCAAAATAGATTCCACTTCAATCCAACTTACAACATGAAAGTAATATCTCTTATCTACCACGGCGGGTTTAACATGGAGAACATGTCATCACAGTTTAAACCCAGAGGCGAAAAGAAGTTTAAAAAGCGCTTCTTATCTAAATCCCGCTGAGCAGAGTATCTTTCTAAAGTTTCAAGGAAATTTTCCAGACAGGCAGTAAAATCAACACTGGATAAAGCTGGCAATGGGCACCCTGCGATTCTGCCTCCGTATACCTTGGCTGTAATAATCATCACCTTGGGCTTAATACTGTTAATGGTCAGACCACCCTAATTTACATTACAGAGCAATCAAAATACCAGTTCTTTTACACCAACGGCAACGGCTAGTATACTCAGATATATACATTAAAGTCTGATTTGACCGCGAATCCAAAGGGTTAATACAGGTGCGTATCCCTGTAATCCTCGCTGAAATTTCCACACCTGATGAAAAGTTAATTGACGGTAAGTAATGAAAGATAGAAACAAGATACAGGGGGGGTAATGAGCATACAAATAACAGTTCTCCTAGATATGCACACCGCCTACGAAGTTATACAGATGGTTAGATGTACCTTTGTATCTGTAAAGTGCAATGTGCCTGGTTTACCCTGGTAGACATATTTGACTGGAATTAGGGAGGGGGGACAAAGGGATGAGTCAATTTTAACATCTTTAGCGAACGTTTCATTTACATCTGCGTGTGAAAAAATTAAAAGAAAAACTGAATATCAGTTCGCTTGTACTTAGTTGGAGCAAAGAAATACCGAATTGCAGTTAATTCAGGACTACACTGTCCAAGTACGTCGAACATTAATACATTCATTAATCACCGGCTCACGTTACCATTCACAGGCAATCAGCAGTTGGAAACAATTTGCCTTAAGTAAATTGTTTCTTTTCTTTACGCTGCGCTCAAATAGAAAGCAGAACCACTTCACCTGGTGTTACTCTGATAACTTACCTCCGACCCATGCCCTGCAGCTTTTCTAACACTGGAATTACTTTCCAGCCACCTGAAAACCGACTTGTTAACTAACACCTGACGTATGGTCATTTCCAAATAATGAAAATTAAATCGTCAACACGGCATTCTGAGTTACCAACAATCTAAATTTATCAAGCCCCCGGGGGCCGGGCGCTCGACATTATGACCAGGTGTGTCCGTTTGTTAAGTCGTTATCTTAACTCAAGTACACATTTCAGAAAATTTCAGAAAAAAAAGTTAAACGGACAAAGTAGTTTCATCATACCTGTACTACTAGTTTGTGTTTCCTATCTTGCGTGCACTTGGTTATTTTAGTTGGTATTTTCGCATTTTGAGTATAAATCTTTATATTGCCACAACTTCTTAAGTACACGTTTTTAAGAACTTTTATTCATACTAGATAGACACGAAGAAAAGGTTGTTTTACAGTCTGGCATTACTTATTTTCTGGTATCATAGAACCAGCTGAAGATCATGACCTTGACCATGACCTTGACATCTTCAAGAACCTTTGGAGCTTGGTAAATACGGAGTCCATTTAGATGCCTGTGGCCAGTATTCACCAAAACCCAGAATTCCTTCTCTTGCCAGAATTTTCTCTTGCTATTTTATTGCGCAAGTATTAAGAGGAAAATTAGAATCATCACAAATACATGTTTTTTTATTAATTCAAGAGCCTTATTAGATGTTTTCCGCCCTTTTTCAATTACACATCCAGTAATTCATGTAGCCTACTGCTTACTGCTTATTTTTTTGCTTAAGAGGCTCTTAAAAATACAAGTTTGTTTGCATGTTATGTGGGGACTCCTTCCACTGTATAGCGATTTTAAACAAAAGTTGGCCCAGAAAACGTCTAAATGGCATTCCCAGGTATCGGACATTACATTTCTTTTCAACGGCTTACTCAACAAACTTACAAAATTCCATAATAAAACGTTGAATATGTGCCAAAAGGCAGACATTTCCAGAATTTACCCATTTGCTGCAACTTGTTAAGATAAAATGTCAACACATGAATATCAGGCTTAGCATTTGATACTTGACCCAGGGACGTAATAGTACGGCATTTTTAGATCTGCTAGTGGATAACAACAAAATAGTCGACATTTCCAGAATATATCCCAATGGCGGTTCAACTTATTGAGGTGAAATGTCAGCAAATTAACGTAAGGCACTTGATTGTTGACTCATAAAAGAAGGATATTACGGTGCATTTGATAAACAAGTAGAACAAACGATCAAAAGAAGATATTACATTTATATGACTGCAGAGGGGAATTATTTTCTGAAAATATTCCATAAGGTCACGAGATTCCATTTGCTCTAATTAATAACTTTTCAGTTAGAAAATCGTTCAGGAAATTAGCACAAGTTAATGGTACGTAGGTGTCTCAAACGATATGCCCGGTATTCGAGCATGGAGGGCATTTGGTGCTAAGAAGGATTTGTATGTGTGGCACTAGTGTTATTGAGTGGTATAAGTACAGCATAATTCAAGCTGAATTAGAAGCGGTTTCAATAGAAAATGCTTAAAGGGATAGAAACTCTTCGTATGGGATCCATATTTCACAATAAATGCATTGTAAACAACTCACAGAAGTATAATAAGTTCTGTTTTACCACCAAAACGACGGTTATAGCAATTTTTATGGAACCTGTGCTCGCCATTGGACCACGTGTCCTCCATAGATGGCTACTACCCTGTGGAACAATTGACCGCTGTAGAGATTATTACATAAAAACTTTTTAGAACAAAAACGTGGAATGACTTTAAATGTGGGTACAGATTCATTAACCATTAAAATAAGTATGGAAAAATTGTCGTTTTCCCCAGGAAAATCCATTTTTTGGCCAAAATGAACAGTTGTTATCCATTTAAATCAATATTAGAGGAATGAAGTACGAGGATTGCTGACAAAGCGTCTACTTCTTGATATGACATTAAAAACGGCTTTTGTAAGTGTGGTTAATTGATAGTAGTGGTGATATGAGGGTTTAGGGGTATAAAAGATGTTGCGACACATCAGATTCAACAAAAATAACGAGCTTTAATTTCAGCAACTCTTTCGAGGAAAGAGCATAGACCTTCACGTGAATCATACATACAGTGTCCTGCTGCTGGATGTTGCAAGAAAACGGAGCATGATATATTGTGTATAAAGGTATTAATAAAGCGAGGGCGTAAGGAAAAACAACTGTGAAAACAATCAGACATAATGTATACACTAGTTTATCTATATGTGTAGGTTATTCTCAGTTCTCCGGGTGCATACTGTCTTTTCAGAGTACACTGGATGCTCACTATCTGCGTACTGGAAGCGGTATGAGTTAATTGCAAATCCCTTATGAAACTCGGGTTGGGTGCAAGGTACCCTGTTCCTGAGTTTATACATACTGATACATGTATGATACCCAATTTGGTGCAAATGTGATTATTAAGAAACTACCATGCCCATTTCAAATTTTTAAGCAAATATGAAATAAGGGAGATACCGGTATAGACAGACAACAGACAGGGTGTGTGCCTCAATCACTACTGATAAAATACTAAAAGACCTTGTGTTTTGAAATCTGAATAGAATTAGTAGCAAGAATGAATGAAACAAAGACCCAAAGATAAAAAGAGCTGATTTTCTGCATTTTAAATTGATATTTTTATAATGTTTTGTTGATATGAAAAATTATTTATTTCATTTCATTTCATTTTATTTTATTTAATTTTATAAAGTTGTGTGACAATATTGCAGCTACATGTAATCCATACAGTCGGTAGCTCTACGTTGACAGTCTTGCGTCTTTTTGTGTGTCTTATTTAATTAAGTTTGCATTGCGTCCATATAATAGCCAACTAAAAGCTATTTAATAGCTCAGCAAATGTTCCTTTAAACAAATGAGATTTGTTGCGTAACAGAAAAAGCCACTTAACTCGTACAGTTGGGAAATTGAAATTCCCATCACGCGGATGGATACAAGAGAGTCCTCTCCTCCGTTTCCCTTCTTTATAATGAGCGACTCTGAATCCGTCCAACATGAAGAAAAAGAAAAATAATGACTGATCTCTCCGAGATTTAGATAAACAGTGATGAAGGCTACAAATTGCATCATATTTACGGTAATACTTTCGCTACGGGATAGGGGTCAGGGAATGGCAAACAAAATACCTGTTTTCCTGAAGGTTCAGCCAGTGAGTATAACGTATTCTACGATGCAAGATTAAGCCGTGCATCGCTGGAAACAAGTGGAAATCCCACCTATTCGTTGCGCATGCCAAAGTCTTTGATTTAAGAAACAAATTAAACAAATGATAAGAAATTAAAAGTATTAATCTTAACCAAATACACCCAATGCCTTAAAAGTGTCCGGATTAAAAAAGGTAACTGTTGTAGAACAAGACATACAGTGGTGCAGCAGCTATCTGTATTGACACAAAACATGAATCGATATAGGAAACAACCAAATACAACTTCTGAAAATACTACAGGGCATCGAACTGTAAAATCCATACAAAAAAATCAGTTCACTGGAGCTATTAACAGAACTGAGAAAACACGGTTAATGATACTGAAAGTCTTGCCAACGAAATCAACAGAGCGTTCACGACGGCGGTACGCAATGAAGAATGCAAAAAAGCTATTAGTTCAATCTACTGCAAAGTGGTTCTTATGTCGATTTTGTATGGAATTGCTTTTTTTTTCCACGGTCGCTTTTATGGTAATGACCTGATAAATCAGAGAGAGAACATAACGCGTAAAGATACTTGCTTCTCTGCAGAGTAAATTACCTTCATCTGCGGCCTTAATCACGTTACTATCAATTTTACGTTGTATCGATCATATCTAGCTCTGTGCATATTTCCATTTACGTACACAAATGGACTACTCAAATGCTTGCTTCGGATGAGTGAGAGAGTTAGAGAGAGAGAGAGGGATAAAGGCATCTCAACTTTACTGAGCACATATTTCAGATATTTCGCTTTGTGTTTGGCTTGAGACTTCGATCAAATCCGTTTCAAAATAAATGCCTTATCTGAAACAATTTGTCAAAATTGATCTCCTACTAATTTTGAGATAAAACCTCCATAAAGCAACAAAACTCGTATTAAATATACATCATGTTTATTCAGATTTCTACAATGGATTAGGGCACCATTAGACAATGGCAATGATTTTGTCTGATAAGTATATATCATTTTATCATTACTGCAAAACAAAGCCAAAATCTAGGTCAAGACAACGTTGGCAACCCACGCCCTTAGCGCATAATTTGCTGCACTATAAAAGTTTTAATATATGAAAAACAGTTAATATAAGGCCCTTATACCAGAATGAGTTAAGCATTATGATGACTGTATGACTGTAGCCTATTCAAATGTGTGTTACACGAGTAGATGGGTAGCGGGAAATACAATGAGCACGTGCTACAAACCATATCCCGTTTCTTCATAATACTTCTACAACTAAGAAAAAAATCCAAAGCAGGGGTAGGAATATGGATATGAATGAAAGGCCTTAATTTATAACTATAAGAGTGTTTGTAAAAAAAAAAAAAAAAAAAAAAAGTTGGGAATTTTAAATAATTTGAAATATAATGAGTTGCAATCAGATATATATATACAAGGTACATGTTCTATAGCATCCGGACACTGCTGGTATCTTACACAATAAGAGAGATGATGCTGGTTTTCCAGAAGACAAATGTGCGTATTTAACAACCTCAATCTAAAAGAGGCAGGATGACAGCAGTTCCTTTACAGTGGTAAAATGGAAAGAAAGCATACATTTGAATTATTTTACACTGACCGCATGTGCCATCATGTTAAATTGGTGTATGTAACTTTCACACACTCATACAAGCTTAAACAATAAATGACATAAATATGATATGACTACTGTAAGAACTTATTTCCTGGTTTAAGAACTGATCGAAGTTTTAACAAGTACATAAAATAACAAAAGTCTAATATATCTCAGGTTTGCCAAGATTTAAGCTGCGGCTTAAAATTTCTGCCTCCTATATTTATCCTATCTCAACAAAGATTTAACAAACAATTCTGCTGAGTAATACCCTTGTTTTTCTTTTATGAAAAACTTAATATATGATTTAAATTTCGCTTGAGTGTCTGGTTTCTACACGAAACTCTTTTCTTTCTTCCTTAAGCCTTCATTCAGTCATTGATAAATGGACGGTATAATGACATTTTTATCACAAAAGAGATAATACTCTGGTCCAGTACATACTACTCACTTCTAAATGAATAAATATATGTATAAAATAAAAGAGTATGCAAAAGCGAACATTAAATATGTGAGATCTAAAATTCTGAAAGACAAAAAATTCTGACCAGCATTTCCTAATACTGATTTATGTACTCACTTAATGTTTATGTTCTTGATACATTACTTTTACATTTGATTTTGGTCCATTTCTTAAAGTAATTATGCAAACATTTTACAACTAAATCTGTATAAAGAAAGAATTGTATCAAAAAATAAGTCTGACAGATATCTCTTAGGCACAGTTTACACAGTTCTATTTGCACTAAGAATGAACCAAAGGGCTCACAGAGTTTGTCACTTTCACATCACAATGATAACTTATTAAAGAATATTTTCACTCTCATTTTATTACTGACAATTTTTTAATTTATTTCTCTGTAGCTAAATCATATCACAAAATCTTCAATTTTTGAATTTTTTTCTCCTAATTCTCCATGAGAAAAGTGTTGAACAGCTTACTACAATTGGTGAATCAACAGTTTTGGTTCATGATTTCTTTATAAAATATTTCTGTAGTATGGAAACTTTCACAGATTATCTAAAACATCACAGTTAGTCCTGATGAAATCAGGTGACTAAAATAAAAATTATTATAATATCATATTTTTTAGTTATGTACAAAAATGTTACTCTTATGTCACTTTTAAGCAAGTGGCACCCATTTCATTCTTCCAAACATATATCATTCATAGCATAAAGACATTTCTAAAAAACTCTCATATAATATAATAGTATATACCAACTCTTAAAAGGTTATCCTAAAAAGTACTATTTTATGTTTTTTAAACAGTACTTGTACATAAAAATATACCTTTTTACTACAAAAAATATGTACATACAATTAATTAGTACATGTACAAAAAAAACTTTGTGGTTTTTTACTGTTGGATTTTGGCAATGTAGTAGTGAGTATTCTACATATTTACACAGTTGCAATATGCAAACCACTTGATAATAAGCCTTAATTGGAAAAAGACAGAGCTAATTATTTTCTTGTGCTCCACCCTCTTTCCCTAAGCTAGCACTGGCCACAGACCGTGCTGACTTCTTTTTCTTCCTTCTTTTAGGTGTGGTGAGAGGAGAAGTCAAAGCATCCTCTACTCCTGCATTACTCAGTCCAGATTGGTCGTCCTCTTTAGCTTCATCAGTATTTTGTAAGAGAGGAGCCCTATCTGTTGTATGATGACCTTTACTTGACCTCTGCTGACCTTGACCTTCTTCCTCTGACCTCATAAATGTGTAACCCCGGGTCAGGTCAATGTCCTTCTCCCAAGCCAGCTGTTTGATCGCCTCACTCATACCCTTATTAGACCTGATAGAGTGTGCTGGTGACTTCCAAGATGCCTGGGCTGTGTTATTTGAATCATTGAAGATACCCGAACCATCAAGGTCAGGGAAAACAGGCCCTGTTTTGCCTTCCAGTTTGTGGGCCCTCACTGCCTTTTTCACTTTGCTGAATAATTTCTGAAGTGAAAATGAGCAACATTATTATATGTCATAGCCTGACAAGATAAAACAGATAAAAAACTTGTCCGCATGTGAACTGGAATGGATCAACTGAAACCAGAACTTCCATAAAGAAGATACAAAATGTGTGCTCAGTTACAAGTGCTGCACTATTCAGAAGGTATAATAATAATAATAATAATAATAATAATAATAATAATAATAATAATAATAACTGATCTAACCTTCCAGTTTGTTATTGCCTCCTTTCTCTGCTTAGCCTTTGTCTTGGTCCCCAATTTGATCACCACCACCCCCCTGTGTTCCTCGTCCTTATGGAGAGGGGCGTAACCCTTGGGCGGGGCCGAGAGATTGGTGGCATACTTCTGCTGGAGCAGCCTCAACTTCTTACTGGAGTAGGCTCTCTCCAGAACTACTACCAGCTGTGCCCACTGAAATATTTCAAACAGATACTAAAATCTGTTTTAGATATTTTCATGGAGTAGTTAAAAATCATCTACCCCCCTTGGGCAGCCCAATCCCAAATGGCACAAAAATTCCAAAGTGCCCATGCACATCCCTGTTGATAGGACAATCAATTCAACTTCCTCCCTCTAATGGACTGAAATTATATAATTTCTAATGCATAGACACATGAACATGGCTGGGCAGGTTAACATGGTTTCTGACTTTTGTCACAAAAGAATTGGGGTTAATAAACCCAAGAATGTTTGTGCTTGTATGAAGAAAATAAATGCAAGGGGGCAGCACTTTGCAAGAGGCACCCTACCTGTCTTCTCCACTCCTTCTCAGACTTGGAAATGACCTGCTGGTATGTGTTCCCCATCATTGCTATCAACATATTGAGAAGAAGGATGGGAACCAACAACATGAACACAGAAAACACAGCCTTGGTCAGGATGTTGTGGTGAGAATCATTAAATTCTGAGTACTGGAAAGAAAGTGAGAGTCAAATTCAGAATTTATGAACAAGTCCCTTAATTGAATATTAATTAGCAGGTGGGAGATTGACTTTTATGTGAACATCTATAAATAACTGATTAAAAAACGATTGCTTTAGAATAAAAATACAATGTAATATTATTAAGACAGAAAAACAGTTTGAATCCTGCTCAAAGTCTACAAACATCATGCCTGAGAATCATCTAAACATCTTTTACAATCTCTATTTTAATACAGCAATGAACAAAATTTCCTTGCAAATTTCAATAATTTCTACGTAAACACCAAAGTATATGTATACCCTATCATATCCAACACTGTTGAGTAAATACTTATCTTTAAATAATTTTTGGGGGTTCTGAATTACCCTCTTTTTCTCTCCAACATACCTCAAAATCTCCAAAGGTCATGTGAACCAGTGACATCACAGTGCCGTGTGGCGTGTAAAATGTGTTGATACTTTTATCATCGATGTCTTTAAACAGGAAATAGAATGCTAAAAAATATAATTGATAAATGACATAAAATACCCAGATATTAAATATTCATGCTCCTAATAATGCTCCTAAAGTCAAAATATGACAAAATCATTACTCATCTAAACCAATACCAGTTATGAAATGAAAATCTTATATTATTAGGAAAATATAAATTGAATATATTAAAGCATTCTATGCTTAACCTGAAATGAATTAAAATATTACAATCCCCTCTACTATATCATCTGCATAAGGCAGAAGCACTAAATAAAAAGATTAAGACCGAAACTGTTGGAAAGGCAATTGGCATTTTAGTCTGATTAAAATTACAAGTGTGCCTGTGTGTACTGTACACATATACATGAGTGTGTTTACAATTACAACAATGAGAAGGAATGTGCATGCCTGCATGTGTGCATGTGCTTGTACAGATACTCAACATTTGTGCCAAGTGAACTGCTTAACGTCAAAAAAATTATCTTATCCACTTTAAGTTAGAGCAATTTCAATAATTAAACTACTACTACTGTAACAGTTACTCCACAAGTGAAATCAATACTCCAAAAAGAAAATAACCTTCATGTCAGAATTTTTTTAAGAAATTGTAAATTGCAAAACTGAATCTCTCACCTTGAGATGAAGTGAAAAGAAAAATGGCATAAATAATGAAAAATCTAATGAGATCTCCTTTGATCATCTTATAGATCATGGTGACAAAGGGTCCAGTCAGTGGCACACCCCTAAAACAGAGCAGTAACCAGTGCAAACAGAACTGCAAACAAGATGTGTTAGTGGAAAAAAAAAGAACACACAGAGTAGTAATAAAAACAAAGGCATATCCATAAAAATGGCATCATGCCAGGTCTGTCTCAATAGTCCAAATGTTCAATGGTCCGAAAAAAATTTACCATTTCATCAGTTTTTTATTAAAAAGGTTCATTGGTCCGAAGATGTTTTCAATGAACCTTTGCACTATTGAACCTTTGGACTATTTACATGTATTCCCTAGGTGGCATCCCCTTCAAGAGGTGCAAAGGTTAATTGGTTAAAAAATATAGAGCAATTGTGTTCAATATCAAAATTTAAACTGGATATATGCCAGAATACCAGATAGATAGTTAATTGTGCAGGGATATCTAAGATTAGTGATGTTATATAAAATGCAGTCAGAGCCTTGTCAAAGAGTGATGATTAAAATGCAGAATATTTTTGCAATTATTTAGAAATATGTAAAATCAAATAATGGAGGGTTGGTGACTCAGCAACAGCCAACCTATGCTGATTATGTATGAGTCTCCACTCCAATAAGTTTTGTAATAAAGGGTGAATAATAAGTGGATAGCCATACCGATTAGGCAGGGCATGTTAGATATAACAGTAGACACAAACAGTAGCACTCAGGGAGGGGTAATTAGTCACACAGTGACACTCAGGGAGATGTTATTAATCACACTCCACAGTAAGTCTGTTTACACCAACCTGGGGAGAATGTTATTACAAAAATGGCATAGATGATGCCAAATCGTAACACGTCCCCTTTGATCATGCGATACATCATAACTGTATTCGGACCTGACCAAGCAGAGACTCTGAAATAAATGGGGCAGACAACATTTTAGGGAAGCAACAAAGACCACATTAAGCAGATTTATTACACTGTAGCATAGTGGAGATATCCAAGTTTTGGATCTGATGTGTACCAGTTACATCATTTTTTAAAATCTCCATATTGCATGTTTATCAGACTCTGACCTTCAACCATATGTTTGATAAAAGTTAACCTGGCCAATCAAAAACTTCAGCACATTTGGCTATCATGAAAAAAGCCATCTGTTGAAGTTAACAGATCTGTGATTGGTGAAGTGCACTTCAATCAAACACCACGTATGGAAGTTCAGATGCAACAAGTGGGTCGTGTATGGAGATTTGAAAAATGAAGGAGCTGGTCCACACCAGATAAAAATGAGGCTGACAGAAGATGGCAGCTGAAGCACCATCATACTAAATAAAATGAATGTATTCTTTAATTTGAATTTAATCAATATATTAATATCCATTTTATATTTATTGGTGTGCATTTGAAGCACTTTCAGAAATGAAGATTCCAGACCAATTAAATGGTCCAGTTCTATTGTTTAGTAGATTTTGCATCATGGCTATATTTTGGAAATGCTGAATGGTCAAAACATTCACTGGTAATAGCTAAGAATTTACTGAATTATTTGATCAAAAGTAATTTTAAATTAATGACTTCTGGCTTATGTTTGTTATATCTACATTCTAAATTCTCACTTGTCAATGAATTATGTTTTTTGAAATACTCTTACATTCAAAGTATCATTTTGTCAAGTAAATAAATGAGTTGTTTACTTTTCACTTTACAACAGCAAACAAAAGCAGTGGATGGATGATACTTTGGGTAACAGACAAGACAAAACAACATATAAGATATGGGGAATTGAAAAAAAATACAAAACATTTTATCACATTAGATGTATTCAAACACATGCAATGTAACAGGCTGCTGTCATCTCTTGTAAGCCTAAAATCTTACCAGACAATTGTTCAGTGAATAGTTTTTTTTTTTTTTCTAAGTTTATCATATGTTTCAGTTGCCTGTGTGAAAACCATGCATACAATGCATGCCTATAGAATTCTCTATTGCATGCACAGCTACCTAGCACCAGTTCAACATTGCGTTAGTTGGGCAACTGAATGTGCCGGGTTGTGCATGCTGTGTTCCCATAACACATTTTCAATATAAGATGTTCCATATAATATAGTAAACATTGAACTCAAATATGATGCCATTTACCTAATTTGGATTTATTAACTCATTATGTTATTTAACAATAAATAGTTATTTCTATCAAATGATTTAATATGATATTAATCAATAATCAATATTAATTATCCTGGGCAAAATATCAATACAAAACACTTAAAATTTACTTATTTATTATACATCCAAAATGCAAACAAATTCTACCCATAATGAAATATTTGAAAGAACTATGAGCTTTTCCACTGGCTTTTTTTGTAAAAAAAATATCACAATACCTGGCAAAGAACAAGAACACAGCCCAGGTTCCAGGCACAGCTATAATCAATAGTGTCGTCTCAGCATCTTGACTCCACTTCTGATTGATGAGGCGGAAAGGAATACAGAGTAATATCAACAGACTGGACAAGGTAAATATGGCCCGGGCAGGAGAGTTTTTCTGAAAATAATTATACAGAGTCAGCGTTTGTCCATAAGATAAAGATGGTGCATTGTCCCAGGCTAGCAGATGGTTTCCTAGCTGAGTACAGAAATGAGATGAAAAAATTAAAATAAAAGCTACACCAAAATTTGTCTTCCTTTTCAAACATAAAATTTGGAAATTTAACATTTTTTTACACCTACAGAATTAACAGTTGAAAAAAAAAAGAAAAACAGACATATTTATCCAAATTCAAGTAAGCATATACATTCAAGGCTAAAAATGCAAGTGAGTCCAAGCTTCTGCACATGTGCGCTTGTGAATATGGGAGTCACAAGCATAAATTAAGAATTTTTGATTAGAGGGCATGTGTGTGTGCGTGTGTGTGTGTGTGTGTGTGTGTGCAAGCTTACAAGCATGTGCAGGCCACAGCACTTACCATGCTCTTCAAAAACCCCAGAATTCCCTGCTTTGGAATCTCAGAAAGTGACAAGACAACTGTGACTAGGCAGTTTATACAGGTAAATATCTCTAATGCGTAGCGCACCTGAAAAGGTAAAAATAAAAGAGGCTTGAAGCATATAGAAAAAACATTATAAAACATCATGTACATATTATATTTATTTGATCAGAATTTATTTTATTGCACATAGCTGAAAGAATTTTTTTTAAATTTTTGTAATTTAGAAACAATAACTGTGCTTTTGGCATCTGTTTTTTTCTCATATGGGTGCATTCACAGTCAATGAAACTATCCAACTAGGTAATTTGAACTGACTCTGCTGAGATCAAACAAACAATTCTAAATCACTGTTAAACCAAATTCAACAATCTAATGGAAAGATAATTTCAAATCTTTTCCTAACTACAGAATTATATAGACTAAGTATCTTTTTTGGCAAACAACTTACATAGTCCCAGTCTGTGGACCCAAGTAGATTCTGTCCATTTGGCCTCAGGTAAACAGCTGCACTCATGATTATCACATGGCCAAGTGCTAACAGGAGACGCTCAAGGAATATTCTCTGGTAATGAAAAAAAGTAGTATATTCAAAATATGTTTTAATTTAAGCGAACTTTAGCAAACTTTTTTTTTCTGTGATCACCTTTAAGACGTAGGATGTAATGACTGTTAAGATATCTCATTAAAGTTATGATTAATCATTTTGATTTAAAATCCTTGGCACTTGGTTCTTGATAAATCACTTTCATGATAACGACTGCAGCAACATTCAATGCTTAAATCTGTATTCACTGTACTTGTTTATATGAAATATTGTGAAGCTTGCAGAGAACCCTCTTCCGCACACACACACACACAGAGAGAGAGAGAGAAAGAGAGAGACAGAGAGAGACAGAGAGAGAAGGAGATTTTCATAAATTTCCTTTTCATCCTTTTCCTCACCCTGCCAAAGGTCTTCCATTTCTCATCTAAAAGTTGCCTTATAACTCCTCCCTCCAGCATATCCAGATGTTCGTCTGTCTGACCTTCTATGATGTACACCAGGGCAGAGTTCCAGTCTGTGAGAGAGAGAAAAAAAAAGATCAGGAAAATGTACCTTCTTGAAATTTGACAAAAAATATTTTTCACGTTTATAATTTGTGGGGAAAAACTACCTATTTATTACTTTTGAACAGTTTGATGCCATAATCAATATTAATCAAACTTTTATTTTCAGTTATTTTACCTTCATATGAATTTGCTCAACCATGTTGCAAAGGAATAGTCTTAAAAATGATATGACATTGTATTCATTAAACATTCAATATACCTGTTATCGAAATAAATTCAATTCTTACAATTTGTTTAAACCATCAACAAAGGTAACACCAAATGAGGATACCACTCAAGGTGAAAATGAGTTTTCGTTAAGAAGAAAATATACCTGAAAAAATTCAACTGTCATTTCTTACTGCGTATATTTAATTCATGTTAAACGTACTAGTAAATAACAACAGACATAACTAGCTTACTTGTGTCTCCAGTTGGGCTTATTGTATCTATGTCCAGCAGAGGATACAAGGCACAGGTGACATTGCTGTAACGCCACATTTCCTGCAAAAAAAAAAAGATTTAATTTAGCATTGGATAAAAATCAATAAATCCTCAGAAGTAAAATAAAATACTCCAAAAATAATAACCATTATAATTATAACAATACTTAGGATTGCCAAGGAGTAACAATAATAAAAGTTAAAGATAACAACGAACTTTTTAGATGTACAATTGTTGTTAGAAGATACTATCAATATATCTAACACAATGTCACGTTGCATTTGTCACGATTTGCCATGTCTAATATAGTGATAAACATCAAGCTAAACAAAAGAAAAAAAATATTTTTTAAAAATTTGCTGAGGATTTCCTACTTAAATGTAAAGAAGATCTTTCAAATCTTAACCAAAAATTAAAAGATAATTATTATAACATTATTGTCAAACTTGACCTTTTATTACTTTTTGTTGCACTCGATTATCATTATCGTAAAACGATTTTAGTTATATGATTGAATCTCTAAGTGTGAACCATCTAAAGTGGGTCATCTTATTTCAATTAGCTCACCAACTGAGACAGAAATGCTGATGTAACTAAAACTGGAAACACGCCATAAATACTGCGTTATTTGTCGTTATACAATAGTGGGTGTGGCAATATGTCAATACTAAATCAGCTTTTGATAGATCTGTCCATTAGTGGGAGTACCCTTTTCAGGGAGCAGGAAATAAATAGAACACAAATCTTTAGAGTCACTGTTTCTTTCTTTTTTTTTTTTTTACTCAATAAAACAAACACTTACAGGTGTTGTTCAACTTACTGTCCAGAAAACAAATCACTAGTCCAGTTTTCGGTCTACTTGTAATGCATTTTCCCCAAGAATAACTGAGAATTTTTTCATTTTAAGTACCAAAACAATATCTCTAGGAAGAAAAAAAACTATGCTGGTATTACATAATATCACCTGCACTATGATATTAACCCCTCTCGTTATCCATGAGTTAATACTGATTACAGACATCTCTTTGCCCTATACACACCCCTAATGCTAAATATAATTTCTATGGAGAGGGACAAGACATTAATTTACTACCTTCAGACAAAAACTCAACCCACACCTCCCATCCCCCCCTCTCTCTCTCTCTCTCTCTCTCTCTCTCTCTCTCTCTCTAAATCCCAGACTGAATGGTCAAGATCAATACATCACCATGCACCATGCATCATCTACATGCCACCGGTTTTGTTTGTTGACATGCTTTTACAATGATAGCCATTTCTATTTCCACAAGATCAATAAGTTGGGATCAAATTACGTCTAATATTTAGGACACTTCAATGGTGGCTAAATGGTCAGCAAATAAAGACAACATGATAAAAGACTGGCTGGGTATATAGACACGCCAATTAATGATCATCACAATAAATAAAAATTCATCAACACACGTATCACATCTCTTCTATCCAACCACTTAAATAACCCATAGTCATTCATAAGTATTTATTCTACTTTGATTTTAAATTAAAAGTTTCTGTAAAATCAATACCTATCCGAAGCTGGCCTAGGTGGAATTTTTGTCAATTCATCAACATATTTCTACGTAAAATGCTGTTATTAAGTTAACACAGTCAATTCTCTACAAATATAATTTTATCTCACCCAACTAATGATTTTTTTAAAAGTTAATGGAAATTACTATTAGATGACATGTCTGACCAGGTCCATTCTTACCATATACAGGGGGAGGGGATAAGAATGGACAGCCTTTTTGGCCCGGGAAAGGTCGACTAAAATTTTGAACTAGGCTCTATGCCATGGTAAAATGGTAAAAAAGCAGGGGGCACTTTTTTTCTGAAAAAAGCACAAAACTTCTCCACTGTGGTACATGACTACAAGCATGGTAAGTTTTAGGTCATATCTGTAGTATCTACTGATTACACTGAAGGAAAGTTCATGGTTCATGCCAAAGAAAATGTCACACATCTGGTTTATGACAGTTTGCATTGAATGTGTGGTTTCCTGATCAATGGTGATAACTTTCTATTCTGGTCGCTCGATATCAAAGCATCATTAGTCTTATTTTGTAAATAATTGAAAGAAAGTTCTACGTTGTATGCTCATTCTAGAATAGCAGGCCAAATGCAGTACAGAATAAAAATTTACAGAAAAATACATTCATCTATGCAGACTACTTCTGAATCATACTAACATGATATTTCTATTTGCATGATATTTCTAATAGCTGGCATACAAAATGAAAAAATTCTTTACTGTCGAGCTAGAAGTTTGACTTAAATCTATTATTTGTTTTCACCAAGTGGGAAATATCTTACCTACCTACTTAAGCTACTGTGAGTTGAAATTGTACTGAAGTATGAGATACAAAAAAAACCAATGCTTGAGATAAAAATTTGAATAAAGCATCAGAGATCAAGACATTATTTCAAGAGAACTAATTCACTTACTATGGATGATTCCTCCAAAATCTCTGTGAACAACTTGTGTCTGCCCAGTTTGCTGGCCAGTGTGAGAGGGGTGAGTTGCTGCTCATTCTTGATGTAAGGATTAGCTCTCCTCTCGTGATGCCGCACTGCGTACTGGTACATACCCTAAAATACAAACATTTCTGTGAATATTTGGATTAAGGTTCCATAATAGGATGGCATGGCCTGGGATGGCATTACATGGCCCAGCATGGCATGGCATGACACGGCATGACACAGTATGGCATGGCATGGATTGGCATGGCATGGAATGGCATGGCATGACATGGCATGGCATGGCACAGCATGATATGGCATGGTTTTTTATAAGGCAACATACTAGTAGCATGGTTTTATATTATCATGGCATAGTGGGAATGATGAAAAAGACATACATATCACATCTGCAGACATATTTGAAGTGAATTTTTAAAAATAGCTTAATTTCAAATAAAGTATTTGTGAAAACCATCTTGAAGTTTTCATCCTCATCAGCAAGGGATTTTCTTGTAATTACATTTTTAAGCTTTTTTTTTAACTTTAATTTTGAAATCTAAACAATTTGAAAGCTCTTCTAAAATAATGCCAAGATTAACAAATATTATTTTCAATAACCAGTTTTGATGAACTGTGAAACCCCCCAAAAAAGGGAAAAGATTTGGCTGAATTTAACTGTCAGATATTCTATATGCCTGGACTGTGTTAACAGGATTGATTGAGTAAATTATTAAATGTCTTCAAGCTGGAGGTAATCCTCACTAAACTGAAATGTACATGCACCTAACAAAATGTGCGTATAACCCCATGTGCACGTGTTTGTACGAGTGGATGCATGTGAACACCACGTGTGTATTGCAGTTTATTTTAGTACTACTACTTGCAATATAAGCTAATACATGTAATATTATATCTAAATGACACACTCTAATCTGTTCTCGAGTCTTCTAATAATCTCAGTTCTCAGCGGGAGTCAGTTCAAAGACGTAGGCAAATATTGCTAGGAATCAGGTCAGCTGCCTCTTAGAAACCAAAATCAATATTGGATAGGCTGATAGTTAGCATTGCTGCAAGCAGATTGTCAATTAAGAATCAAAATGGCATTCACACTGAACATACCATCTTAAAGATGCATTTGAGGATAAAATTTTGCCACAAAGCCTGACCAAATGTCACTATATATATATATATACTAGTAGTTTCAAATAGCATAACTTGAGGAAATATCAAAAAGCATAGTTTCATATTTTTCGAAAAAATAGTGTTTGAACAGTTATTTTCTACTTTCTTTCTATACTATACATATAACCCTCAGTCATGTGCCATATATTACTACATCATTTTGTAGACTTTTTCCAACTCGAGGGAGGGATAAGTACATGTAGGCCAAATTTACAACCAGAAAACAAAAGACAAGAAAACTATTTGAAAAAGTTCACAGTAAGCTGGCCATTCAGAGGCCTACAAATCCAGGCTTGTAGCCAGCGTTTTCTAAAAAAGTGGACCTCTTACCAGGAAATCTATGTGTACCTAGATGAAATTTTACCCAGAGGAGACCTTTTCCCAGCAAAAGAGGGGGGGGCTACAGGCCTGAATTCTACAACTGGTATAATTAAGTTTAGTATCTTACCAGCTGGTTGTTGACCACAATAACATGTAGAGTGGTATTCCCAAATGAGTCCTGAGCATCTGGGTCGGCACCTTTACTGATTAGGTAGTCATAGATGTTCTTGTGACCAAAACTGGCAGCAAAGGCAAGTGGATATTCACCATAGTATGCATAGCCTGAAGTGAATATTTTAAAAATAATAAAAAGGTTCAGAATTTTTCAAATTTTCTTTTTAATGAAATAAATATAAAATATCACAGTGAGAAAAAATATTTCTTATACTTAACATGGAGCAAGTGATGAACAGCAAGACCATTAAACTGAGCCAGTAAAAAAAGTTACTATTACTGCAAAATGAAACAAAAAGAAATTGTGTATAAAGACACAATGAGAATGAACATCGCAGTGGTCTCTCTTACCATCAAAATTTGTATTGGCTGTTTTTCTTTCCTTCTGGTCCTCTGGCATAAAAAACCTCCCAGAGGCGCGCTGGTTTATTTTGGCACCACATTCTACCAACAGTCGCACCGACTCGAAGTCATTCAGGACTATCGCTATGTGAAGACAGCTCTCTCCTGAAATGGACATGATCATAAATTGTCAATGAGTTACGTGTTGATTGTAAGAATACAGATGTGACTTTCAATACTGTAATCAAGGAATTGTCCAGACAATTGATTTAAAGAAAACACTGATATTTAAAAGATTAATAAAAAATGAAGTTTCTCAATCATTTTACCTGTACTTAATATTTCTTGGTAAATTAATTATAACTGAATTCTAATAGTAAAATGGAATTTTAGAAGTTGTATTTGGTGATTTTTTAACTAGGGATGTTTTAGATTTTTTTTTTCAAATTATCTTTATATCTTAATCACAATTACAATAATATATAATTGGAACATTATGACAAGCTTCAAAAATCAAATGAAAAGTTGGTTTTGTGTTTGGATAGTTTAATAACCAATTAAAACTGTGGATATTCAGGCACATGCTTATCCTAATACTGCATTTTGAAAACTGATGAATATGGAAGTTTTCAAAACACAAATCAAACAATTTTTCTCTTTATCTAAAATGCTTACCGTAATATTCCTCCCCCTCGTAAATGTCCAGTGCCAGTTTGGGATACTTTTGTAGCATGATGTGAGCCACCTCCGTGGCCAGCACACTGTCCATGAGGAACGCAAGGTGAAGCGGCATCTCACCAACACCACCCCGCAGGTTCAATTCCCAACAAATTTCGTGAGGTTCATCAAATTTAATAAAAGCATCCTCCTTGTAGTTAGCTAAAACTTCCTCATCTTTTCTATTGTCTACCAGTGAACCTCCCTGAAAAATTGTTAGAAGTGAAACTGATTTTGGATTTTGAACACTCATTTTGAACAACATTTTACACAGTTCTTGCTCTGATGTGAAACCTAAAAATAATAAGTATTATAAGGATAATATAATTAATAAGTATCAATTTTAAATTTTTTTATCATTTTTATTGTTTTGGACATAAAGTATATATTTCTCAGAGGATCCTGGTCTACTTGAACATTTTAGAAAAAAATTAAACAAGCATCTCAAAGTATAATAAATAGTAAGATCTGTAATATGACATAAACAAAATATGTTAAATATTTCAAACTTATTATCTAAAATATGCAAACATCTTAAACATATAATTATTAATATTTCATGCTATAATTCAAAAACAGTATGTCCAATCAACTTGAAACTATTGAAACCAATAAATAAATAAATAAATAATCCAAAATAAAATTAATAAACATATAAATGAAATAGACATATACAAATACTATTACCCTTTTGTTGACATTGGTTTTCCATATATGATATGGTATAGACATAATTATCAGTTGCAAATGGTTTATTATACCTAAAGATTTTATTTTAGAAAGAAGGTAACAAAATAAATCAGCAAATTTAAGGAGCTTTGGGCCTTGACCACAGGTAAAAATCTAAACTTCCAATCTCTGCAAATTGTACTATTCTGGTGCATAGAAATGGACCTTAATTGGTAAAGCAATTATTCACAACCATTATTTTATTAAGTGGTAGGTGCAAGAGTAAACAGATCTTTCAATCTTGAAGGTCATCTTAACATTTACCAATATACTAATGGACACTGTAAGTAACCAGAGCAGTGTTAACCCAGCTAATGGCAATAACAACTATGTCCATTATAGGCCCTACATATACCGCTATTCAAATACCAATTATATAAATATCATTACGCAATTTCCTTTGGCCTGGCTTGATATGCCACAATAATTCATACACCTAAAGAATGAAGTGTCTGACATTGATCTCTCAGGTTTAACTGCTACCTGAGGAGTTGTGTAGAACAAAAACAACAATTGGCCCTAGGTTGGAGGTTAGATATAAAGCCAAAAATGCATTCAGATTCACACATCATACTAGCTAGGTCGTTCCAACTCTGTGAGGAATTCTCCCTAAAGTGCAATCAGTGGAATCAGCTTAACTGTCTGACAGGTCTCCTGGAGCAGCTAGGGGGTAATTATATAAATATCATGTACTGATCAAGCTGATTCCACTGATTGCACTTTAATGAGAATCATTCCTGCACAGTTAAACTTACCTGGCTAGTATGATGTGTGAATTGGAAGAAAGTGGTCATTATCAAAAGTAGAAATTGGAAAAGAGCAATTAATTATCCAATACTCTTGTTTAAAAAAACAGCAAATAATTGCCTTTTTGTAAAAAATCAATGTTTGGCTTTTCAAGTATTTACCTTTACTTGAGACAAGTGTCAACTTAGCAGGTGAGAGTTCTTTTAAAATATATTTATCTTTAAAAATACCTTTCAAATTCTAAATCATCATGAAAGTCAGGGTACAATGACTATGCAATTTTTAGGAGTTAGCACACCTAAACTTTTGCCCTACAAAAACAAAATGAAGTCAACAAGGTCTGAACAACCTGAAGGCAGGTGCATAATGATAGAATCAATCACTTTGTTTAAATAGCTACGATTTTCAACCACCAAGTTTCATTATCACTAAAACACTGAATTGGGATAGCAACAATATGCTAAAGACTATTGATAGTTGTCTTCTGCCAGTATGAGAATGAATGCAAGTGCTTGAATTGCTTACAAGTACATGTACTTGCTTATCTGACAAATTGGGATAACACAACAACTGGATTAAGACGTGACACTAATTAAATATATACCAGTACCAGCTAGCATTTCATACTAGGGCACCTAGGCCTGTTACTGTAGAGAAAAATCAACTCTACTACCACATAGTGTTAAACACTATAATTACATGTGTGGTGCATGTACATGTATGTGACTCCCATATGTGACAAATTAATATTTATTTTGGTATAAGAACATTTCAATTATCACTTATCCAGGTCTAACATTATTCTCTATAACTATGGTACTGAAACTACAGTACTGATCTTCTTACATTATTTTATTACTAGTATATGACTAAAAGAGCTTTTAATAAAACTGGAGTTGCTTCCGCACGTCTGTTGCATCATGTCATCATCTGGTTGGTTTCAACAACAGCCCTTTTAACTGTGAAAGCAATACAGGGAACTGGTAAGAAAATAGGCATGCAAACTGTATTAATCTATCCAAGTTTCAAAAGAACATAATAGGGAGCACCATTTCACATAAATAAATAAATACTTTTTCCAAATGCAAATATCTTCTTCATTATCATATCATACAAACTTTACAATAAACATGTTTCAACTGAATGACAGCAGTATTCATCTGGCTTATTGAAAAAGTGTTTTCAAACATGCAAATAGCACATCCATCTGACAGTTCTGACATGAGTGAGAAATATGTCGCACAAGATTTCAGAGTGTATCGCATTTGCATTGCACACGCTACTAGAACTTTATGGTGAATTTACAGCCTCAAATCAATTGACAACCAATCAGGACATCATGGCATGAATAAATATTTATCTCTCTTCCACTCAGAAAGACCATAAATCAAGTCTTTCAGAGCAGATAAGGTCCCTCGGGGATTACAAACTGGGTTCTTTGAACTGGCATCAAAACCTCTGAAGCCTTTCTATTGATTTCCTTCAATAAAAGTACCAAGCACATGGAAGAAGAAGGTTGCTCAGCAGATTTCGCTTGCTTATGCTACAGTGTTCAGAAATGCTACTACTACACAAGAGATAAATAATTAATTACATGTATGAAAATGTCCTGCCTTCATTAAAAAGAATTATCAGGTGCAATCACTATACTGAATGTATGTTAAATGCTGAACCAAAATTGCAAGTTTTTAGGAATGTGTATTCTAAACTGTGTATTACTCTAGACTAAAACTTATATGTGCATCAGTTAATCAAGTCTTTGATACATACAGGCAAAAAATAAATAAATAAATAAATAAATAAATAAATAAATAAATAAATAAATAAATAAATATAGGAGGATAAAACTAAAATTAGGAAAGCATGTGAGATGTCTCTAATTACAAGAAATTATCCACTTTTCAGTCAATTAAACATCAGAAAACAAGCCTCCCCCCTCGTCTTTGAACATCCAATACATATTGATCAATCAGTGCAACTGAAAATGTGGCATTCAAACCTTTCCTTCAGTTTAGGTAAACTGCTGAGGAATATTTTGGTGGTGAAGAGAAAATTATTTGAATGAAGGAAGATTTACATCTCTAAATTACATTTTTGAAAAAAAAAAATGGGGCATATACCTAAGAGAATATTACAAAGAACTTACCGTCATTTTTGCTTTACATCTGTCACACCACCGCACCCACTCTACCAGACTAACTTTCCTGCCTGCTCCTTTATTGCACAGGTAATGTTCTATTTCTTGCTCCAAATGGTCCTCAAAAGCCTTTGGATCACTCTCATTTTTCTTATTGTGCTTTAGATATTCGTCTATAAGAGTGCCACCCCTTGTGCCCAGATTAATAAACTTGTACATGGGATTTTCTTGCATTTCTTTATTTTGTTGTTTCCAGGCAGAGTCCCGATCAAGGGGTGCACTGCCACCCTTCTTCCTCAGTAGGTTACCCATTGTGGCTACCTCCAGCCGGCTGGGTTTAATACTGAATCTTTGGCTAGATATTAGATTGATGCCTGAAATAATAATAATAATAATAATAATAATAATAATAATAATAATAATAATAATTATTATATTATTATAACTGCATTCAAAAAGTTTATGACTTAAACAAGTGAAACAGGACAACTTTAAAACACTTATTATCACCCCAGTTTTTTTTTGTGTAATATTGATGACTAGACTTTTGGAAACTTTTGCACGATCAAACCAACAAATGTAATTTAAAATACTAGTACAGGGTAGATCTACCAAGAAAACAATGTGTCTCAAGCTGCAGCAAGGATGAGAGAATTTGACAGATAGGTACAATAGTTATGATATGTAACGTAGCTGTAACTGTGTGTGTAGACTCAATATTCACAAAAACATTCATACAACCACCGAAGACACTTTCTTGACGGCAAGTTTAAGAAGCCGACGAAACAGAAAGCTAATTAACTTTGATCAAATTGATCAGCGACATATATGTCCAAAACATTTCTCAATACCTACCTTAGTCCGCATTATCAGTATGAATCAGTTTTCTTCGCGTTACATCACTAGTGAAGGTTACATTTTGTCAAGCGCATCAGAAAGATTCACGAAATCCTTACAAGAGCCATGTCCGACATGATTGTTTACTGGGTCACGTGATCGTATCCACAAGCTTTGTGAGACTTGTTCCTAGAATATGTATCCAGAAGAGAGCGCATATTTGTAAACAAAAAATTTAAATAAACAAAAAATACTAAAAATTTAATCATAATTATAATTATATTTTTGTTCCACGATTTTAAAAAATGTAATTAAAACACCATTTTATGGCACAAAAAATGTATATTTTAATAAGGTTTGTTTGGAGAACCAGTCATTCACAATGATTAAAGCACACCGCACACCGGGCTCAGCATATGTAAGTCTTGATCATAACATTCTCCTCAAATTTTTGTGTCTTTTGTCCCTTTCTCCTGCGATCATGCCTGAACAGCAGATGAAAATAGATCGTCTTAGTCCCGGAGATCCTTCATCATTCTCTAGACCGGAGTACTGCGTAGTGGTGCACCTTCATTTAAATTGGGATGTTAACTTCGACAAAAAGATTCTCAACGGTAGCGTGGAGTTGGACTTAGAGAAGAAGAAAACGGATGTAGACGTAGTGGTGCGTAATATCGTTCGGTGTTAAATTATATATGAAAATATGCGTTCAATGAATTGTTTTTAACTGTAGCCATGTCTTCTTACCTGTCTAACGATATTTTTCAATATTCTGTATAATTGGATTCACACTCTGAGTTCAGTGCCCTAAAGTTTGTCTTTTTTTTTTTTTTTTTTTTCAATTTTTGCATTGATTTCAACCTTCCAGATCCTGGATTCGAAAGACCTGACTATTCACAGAATAACCGATGTTGAAACGGGCCAGGAACTTAAATATAGCCTTGGGAAACCTGTGGGAGCCTTTGGATCCAAACTAGAGATTCAACTACCTAGGGTCAAAGACAAGAAGTACTGTGCATTTGTCTACTGGTGTTTTAATTGTTTTTATTTTATTTTATTTTATTTATAAAAGATAAATGTAAAAATATATATATTCACCCATTAAATTTAAGGGGAAAATGCTAGCTGGCCAAGATTTTACAGGGAGCATGAGGATAATATATAAAAATCGTTTCTTTGATAATTTATTCTAAATTCTCTAAATAATCTCTATTTTAGGTCAAACTAAAGCTCATTCCTAATGAATTGAATTAAAATTATGATAATTTAAAAAGTGAATATCTTGCTCTTCAGATTGAAGATCAAAATAGAGTACGAGTGTTCCCCAGAAGCCTCAGCCCTTCAGTGGCTTACACCTGAGATGACAGCTGGGAAGAAGCACCCATATCTCTTCAGCCAGTGCCAGGTGTGTATACCCTCTACCTAGGACACTGATTAATTATGTTTATTTATTTATTTATTTTTTTCATTTTTCTTACAGCAGAGAATTGTGTTGTGAATTAGCCAGACAGAGGTCTGGAAACATCTAGTGAAAAATCAATCTGCGATCCTGCCTTCCATTGAACAGTAACTCTCCCCACCCACCCCCACCCCTCTGCAAACAAAAGAAAAAGAAAAGAGAAAAACATGGCATGCAGTTTGGATTAAGACTTTATCCCAATAAATTGTTTTATTAAACCATTAAGTGCACTAGAAATATAAAGAAGAAAATTGACAGCACTTAGAAAGCTTTTAGTCTTAAATGTCTTTTATATTCATTAACTATTATGGATGCTTTGTTTATTGATACCATCAATGTTCCTTCAATGAAATTTGTTCTTTACATTGAGACAGCACTCAGGTTTAAAAAATGTCAAAGTAATCATCTATAAAGTTAACAAACATTGTAAGTCTTGGAAGTATGAATATGGGCATTATCTTATTTATTCTGTCGTATCTGTTACCACTAGGCCATCCATAGTCGTAGCATTGTCCCATGTCAAGACACACCATCTGCCAAGTTTACCTACACAGCTAAGGTGAGGATAAGTTTAGAGACAGAATGATTGAATATAACTTATTAATAAAATTGTTATATTTTTTGTTTACCTTTCTGGTATCAAGATTTTAGCATAAAACCTATTGCAAATTTAGAATTGATTTTTCAAGGAAGTTTGACACCTGTCCATGTTCCACCAAGTTTACTTTGTCCAAAATTATTGTTAAATTCAGTCATTAACTCATTTTTGACTTATTTCTGCTGGTTGTCTTCTCCATCTTGTATCGCATTTATTTCCTTTATGAAGTGAATGGATATGTTTTAAAGAGTATTATCTCTCATAGGTTACTGCTCCCAAAGATCTGACAGTCTTAATGAGTGCAGTCAGGCAGGAAGGAAGTGGAAAAGGATCCCATGAATTTGTACAGAAGGTCCCCATACCTAGTTATCTCATAGCCATTGTTGTTGGGGCACTGGAGTCAAGGTAATATACAGTTGTTATTAAATGAAAGACAGTTATATGGATCTTAAACCATCTGATTTTCTTAATTTTCATGTCCAACCCCACAGAGCAGTAAAAGATATATCTATTATATATTTTTGTTCAGGCTACAGATTATCATCCATAATTGTAACAGCCACCTTATATATTTTTTCTTTACCATCAGAAAAATCGGGCCAAGATCTCATGTATGGACAGAAAAAGAGATGATTAAAGAAGCAGAATATGAATTTGCTGAGGTGAGAACAAAATAAAAATGTAAAAAACATTTGTAATATATATTTAAAAGGACATTTGGGAAATTTTATTTTTTAATAGGCATTCATTTGTATGTTTTCCTGTTAGGAATATATTAAGTAACTAGGCTTAAATTATACACTGAAATACATAAAAATTATGTTGCCTTTTCTGTTCAGACTGAGCAATTCCTAAAGACAGCAGAAAATCTCCTTGGGCCATATGTATGGGGAGTGTATGATCTTCTGGTTTTACCACCATCTTTCCCATATGGAGGCATGGAGAACCCGTGCTTGACTTTTGTCACTCCTACTTTGCTGGTAAGTAAAAGCAGAATAACAACACAGAGGATAAGGACATTGTGACTGGTCTTTTAATTCCTAAGGCTTAGGATGGACTACATCTCTCTCTCTCTCTCTCTCTGAATTTATACAGTTTAGCATAAACTATCATCTACTGATTAATAATTTATTAATAATCATTTCATATTTCTATCATCAGGCTGGGGACAGGTCTCTGGCAGATGTGGTGGCACATGAAATCTCCCACAGTTGGACCGGAAACCTGGTGACAAACAAGGACCCTGAGCACTTCTGGTATGTGGCATGCTGGGAAAATATTGCCTGACACTGTCTAGGAGTGTGTTCACAGAGAATCTATTGACCATGAAGTTTGAACTACCTCTGCAGGGACTCTCACTGAATGCAGTCATATTAAGACTCCTCATCTCGTTTCCAATACACTCTAATCACCAGCTTTTCTGTATTCTACTCACTGCCAGGTTTAGGCATGTTAATCTCACTGTTTTGTATTGTATTATGTTGTATTGTATTGTATTGCTGTTTTTGCCTCCAGGTTAAATGAAGGTCATACAGTGTTTGTAGAGAGGAAGATCACCGGTAGCATGGGTCCACCACACCTGAGGGATTTCAAAATGGATAGTGGATGGGACACATTACGCTATGCAGTGAGTTTTTAGATATTTGTATGCATTCTTGCTCGTACAAGCTTTGTACTATGAGGATTAATGTAGCAAAAGTTTTATTTTTCCCGGAAATGTCAAAATTTTCCATTAATTAAGTATATCATGGCAACTATTAGCACCATCATAAAAAATTATCAAGGGGCAATATATTTAATATATTAGCCTAGGTCATTATACGTGTCAGGTAGTTATTACATTTATGTTTGCAGTCTTTATTTTCACATTTTGAATTAAAAAAAAAGACAATATATATCAACTCTGCATCATGTATCACATGCTTTCTCTAGATAGATGTATTTGGAGAGAAGAGTCCTTTAACCCATCTAGTACCTGATCTGACCGGTATTGACCCAGATGACGCCTTCTCGTCAGTCCCATATGAGAAGGGCTCCACACTCCTCTATTACCTAGAGCAGCAACTGGGAGGACCTGGTACCGATGACACTTTATTATTAAATTTTAAATTAGAATTAAAATTTTAATTAAAATTAGTTTTTCAGTAAGTGGAAGATTTTGATTCCTTATCTGTAGGGACATGAAACTTTTTTATTCACTCTCAATTTTTCTTAAAACATTATTATTGACCACAGATATGAAGAAGGCCTTAAAGACTTACATTTTCTGGCAAAGTCATTTTGTAAATTTTCCATGGGCTGCAATAACAGTTTCTTTTTTACAGCATTTTTATGAGGAGATGAGTAATAGTTTACAAATTTACTTCCTTATGAACTCTGTTGCAAGTTATTTATTGCAATTCTCAATACCAATTTTGAGGTTAATTTATATTACTTTAATTATGTTTTTTTTTTTTTTTTTTTTCAGATGTATTTGAGCCATTTCTAAGGAAATACATAGAAAACTTCAAAAACCAGTCCATTACCACAGATGACTGGAAAAAATTCCTGTATAATTATTTCAGTGATAAGGTACTAACATTAATTAAAACATTTTCTTCTCTGTTAAGTAAATTGTGATAGGTACATGCATTTTTGCACCAATTACTCCTTTCATATTCTTCAATTTTGCTACACATTTTTCAACTCACTTAAAATTATGAGTGTAAATTTCATGTTTTATGATGAAGTGTAATAAACGTTTATGTATAAATTAACATGATATTTAAGATGGGTCCCTTTTTCACATTGTTCAGATCAAAGTTTAAAAGCTACTAATTATATGTAAAGAATTGGACTTCAGCCAGAATTTAAACCTTGATTGTAGATTATATATTTTAGAAACATTTGAAATGCATATACTTATATGAAAGCAATTCATTTTTTTTCATAATCACAGGTTGACATTCTTGATGCAGTGGACTGGAAAGCTTGGTTCAACACCCCTGGAATGCCTCCAGTAAAACCAAAGTAAGACAGTATTTATAGCTTTAAAAACCAACTGCTCTATAGTTTTCTTTTACAACCTGTAGACAATATTATATGTAAATCATAATGTGTATATTTTATAAATTTCTTAGTATTGGGTTAATATTGTGAAAATCTCGTTTTTAGATACAACCTGAGTTTATTAGAGCCATGTATAAAACTCAGTCAGAGGTGGGCAAAGGCAGAGGATGAAGATGTAGAAAAATTTACTGACGAAGAGTGGAAAAACTTGACTTCAATACAGATTCCAAAGTTTCTCTCCCTGTTGATGAATGAGGTATGAGGTGAATTAGTCTTTTGCAATGTTGCTAATTTATTTATATTCATTTATATCATTTGGGTGTTCAAGTTAATAAGTATACGTAATTATAGATTGGCACAATCTTTCAATGTGCAAAACTAATTATTATGAGACAAAACATTCTGCAGTATACTGTAATAGTGTTTTATATAGAAGCACCTATAGCTTATGATGTGTTTTGTAGATATTCTTTGTTAAGGAGAGCATAATGGACAATCATATGAGAGTTATACTATAGTGACTGTTGATTCATATTTTTTAAAATGAATTGATTTTATGTAGGAACCAATGTCATTGGAGAAGATTGAAAGAATGGCAGTTCTTTATGGCCTTAACAAAGTGAAGAACTCAGAAATAAGGTTTTTGTAAGTGCTTTTTAAATCAATTGAGAAATTATTTGGAAGTTTACAGTGACTGGCATTGTTTTTATGTTAAAAAAAATACAAATTTAATGTGTGGTACTAGACATCTCGTCTGCAGTTAGGTTGAATATGCTACATGTACTGTTATATATCTAACAAGTAAGAAATGTTAAATTTCCCCCCAATTTTTTTTTTTTTTCAAAAACATATTTTGAATCAAACATTCAAACATGTCGGTATTGTTTTGATTTATGTTTATTTTACTGCATGAACTTAAAAAATTCTGAAAGAAGAGATACTGTCAAAAGTGTTTGGTCAAAAAAAATTAAATGAATCTTGGCCTGTTTAGTGACAGATTTGACTGCCCCAAAAAAGTTTGTGTTCACATTTATGTCTGCAGTTAACTGTAGATGACAGCACAGATGACGGATTTCTAGAATTCCTGAACTCTGAACCGATTATATTAAGAATATGTGTGTGAATGCCATTCACTGAAAGATTTTTGCTATACAGTTACTGGTTATTGCATACAGGTGGCTGAGACTGTGTATCAAAGCCAGGTACTTGCCAGCAGTGTCGCGGGCCTTGGAGTTTGTAAATGAGCAAGGAAGAATGAAGTTTGTCAGGCCTATTTACAGGTCAGTTTTTCAGTAGCCTGGAGGATTTTCAAACATTTCAATAAATTAATTGAATATTTTATTTTATTTTAATTATTATCATTATTGTTGATATTATTTTTGCTATTATTATAGATACTAAGAATCTACTTTTCAGCTTCTGTTGAAAAACTATTTTCACCTTAATCTAGATTGCCAAATAATTTTTTTACATGCTCAACAATCATCTAGTTCATTTAAAAGCTACAGCAGTTGCAATCCTGTCCTGTTTCTAATTCCAGGGATCTCTATGGATGGGAAGCAGTACGCAAAGAAACTGTTGCCAACTTCCTCAAACATCGCTCTCAGATGCACAACATTGCCTCCACCATGGTTGGGAAGGACCTTCATATTGCCGACGGAAAGCATGATGAGCTATGACCACTTTCACCAGCATTTAACTCTTCTAACTTTCCTTAAACATTTCTCACTTGAATGAAAACTGTGGAAAATGAATAGAAATAACTGTATTTAGAGAGAATTTTAATTTAAAATTAGACATGTTCCAGTGTATAGAAGAAGTATGTAGAAAAGTGTAATGTGACCTGGATGCATATGTGCACTGGTGCCATGCAAAGGTCTCTAAAACTCTGGGTTCTGATATTGTAAACAAGGCTCATTTATCAAACTATCGAAAGCATGTGACTACACCTCTTTGGCCATTTTCCCAATTTAATTTTCTTCACAATATTTGGGTCAAAAAGGTGATTTGCTACTACAAGACATTTATTTTTATTTCTTGACTGTTTCATAGGATTTTAGATGTACTAAAACTTTGGGTTACACAATACGCTGAATGTCCCTTGAAGCATTTTGAAAAGTTTATGAGGTTGTGTTTCCTCAGTTTTTTTATGATCTCATAGTATTGTATGTAGTATAGGCCATCTGTCCAATATACAGACTAAGTGACTGTGACTGGTTTTATGGTTATGAGAATTGAATTACTTAATTATTATTTACTGTATAATTATTATTCTATTCCTGATCACTTCAAACAAAATGAAAAGATGCTTAATTGTTAAAACAATCGCTAAGGCGCAATCGCTAAGTATATTATATTGAAGCTATTATAAATGTACTGTGTACATTGTTAGCAACATTTCAATAAATTTTTCAACAAGTTGAACTCATATTTATAATTTCATGTTTTTCACCCTGAGTTTTTGAGGACCCTGAAAACTTCCCTCGCCACATTTAACATGTCTGCCTGAAACTTTTTTTTTTTTTGTTTTTTTTTTATAATTTATGAGTAAAAGTGGTTCTGTTCAGGTTTTGAAAAAAACATGGTGTCAGTCTATTGTTATTCTTCATAATCAAAAGAACTCTAAGGCATTTTTTCTAAGTCGATAAAGTTTTACACATGAAGCTGTCGTTTTTTTCTTAATCAGCCATAAAACCTGTAGACATGCAAATTGTATCAGAATCACTTGTACGATTCACAATTAAATCATGGTCTGTAGTGACTAATTATTTACCATCTGTTTTTCTTATTAAATGATTGAAAATATGATCCGCATTTTTCCTGTCTTGTGATATAATATTTCTACTCATAAAATCATATCTTTAAATGTGTATCTAAGATATGTTTTGGGATCGTTATTGAGTGCTGTATTTAGGGAAATGTGTTTGATCACTTTTATCTGTGCTGTTATAGTGGAATCTATCTTCACAAGTCAGCCACTGTCTGGAATGTGTTTCTTTTGCGTCATCTCAAACGCGATCAGTCAGAAAAATCCGTTGGCACAGATCGAGTTTTTTTCTGTGTAGCCATGTTTGAGGTAAATTTGCATATTGCGAAGCGATGATGACACGTAAATCTAAAACCTGGGATTGACAATGGTATGTTCAAGGAACGCAACACGGGATATAAACAAAATCATTTATTGCCGGCGTTGTGAAAGTTAAAAAGAAATGACTTATGAAAAATATTGGTGCTATATTATTATTATACAACTAGGGTCCACATTTGGAATTGAAAATGAGAAATAAACTGTCCAGGTTAATTATCTTGAAAGTATTTCATATCAACAAGTCATCAATTGCTGTACAAAGCCACATACATAAAAGTCTAATGTGAGGAATGAAGATTCTTAGGGAACTCTCAAGCTGACTCGATAGCGTACCCTGCGAAAATTATTCGCAACTTTTGGCTCCACAAAATCAGTGTTCATTGTTCTGTGCACAGCCTCATACCAAAAGGCCTTGAACTTGTCTGCTGCAAGGAGCAACAGTTCTTTTATTGTACGCGCGTAAAGTTCGCATATTTGCATGACATTACACAGAGCCCGAGCTAAAACAGCGGCTGGGAACTGTGTCTTGCAGTCGAGGGCGGTCTTCTTGCTGGTATCCTTTGTAATCTCGTCCTGCTTGATACCAGTTTTGTTTTCTGCTTCTGTCAACTTGAAGTCAGATGTGGGTGTGGTTTTGGTCATCGCTGGCGGAGGAAGGCTGGTCACATTGGTGGTTTGGTTGAGGGTAGTATTAACGCCCTCACCGCTGAATCGCCCAGCAAACCCTGTTTTTGACTCACCCACGTTGACGGCCTTATCGTTTTCGATGTCTTCATTGTTGAAGACGACTGCAAAAATAAAAATCGTTGAAAAAATTTAATAAAAAAATCTTGACGTCAGTCAGTCTGTTTTATAACGGCATTATGAAGATACTCATGTTACACTTCTTCGAGCGAGACATTGCGAACATAAAGCCCAATTTACCAAAAATAAAAAAGTAGCATTAAATTATTTTCAAATAAAAATGTGTACTCAAAAGTTATTAAAATCATAAAAGTACACCTCATCAGAGTTACTACATGTATAATATTGACGAAATTTACCTAATCGACATTTCACTGCCGAGTAAAAGGTCCTACCGTCGTTGAACATAGAGTCAATTGGAGTGCTATTGAAAACACTACGGATGAATACACCGTCGTCATTCTTTCTGCAAAACAAAATGAATAAATAATTTAACAACTGTCTTTAAACAAAATTGGATAGAATGAGTAAAGATGATTGAGAGTTTCCCTGTCCTACAGCAGTTAACATCGGATGTTAACTTGATAACTTATCTGACAGTAGGCAATATATTGAACAATGTACAGCAAACGAGCAATCCACCAAATAGACTGTTAATCAAATACACCATCCTCATATTTAGTTTCTGTAATATGCAAATCACTGATATTTCTTACCTAAAATTCTTAAAATCATTTCCTATGATTGCTCCGCATAGTGCGCAAATAAGTAAGCAGCAAAGAAAACTTTGCGAATCCATGATAATACAAGGAACGTGTTACTATGATCACGTTTCACCACTTGTGACGTCATGTGTTCTCAGTAACGTGACGCTCTCAGTAACGTGACGTCAAGGGGAGAGAAACTTTGATTCAAGCGGCTTTATTTATTTATTTATTTATTTATTTATTTATTTAGTTGGACAAGCGTAGTAGGGGTCTATAGCGATCACCATTTCTGTCGGTGCCTTAGATGCTGCTTATTATTATTATTATTATTATTGTTACAGTTGATTAAAAGGGCTGCCAAACATATTTTGTAGTCATTATAACGTCTAACTAGCCAGTAGACCGGTGCTTAACGCTTCCTTAAACAAAAAACGTGTCAGTTTTTCCTGTTTAAGGTACAGACCGTCCAAAGTTGGGTGTTAATTATAAAGGCCTGCCTAGACTGCAAACTGATGCAGTATTGTTTTCATCTAATGTTTGTTGATGCAGGGAACTTGGAGTTAAAAACGACCCATTCTTTGGTTAAGTAAGCACAGTGGCAGACTTAAGGGAGCGATTTCTGAAAAAAATTACACCAACATTTCCCTTGAAATTAGAATATTGTCTAACTTAATCATAGTTCTAAACCGTACCAAATGGCACCGTTAGCCTAAAATACCAAAAGGTTTCGGGGAAAGCCACGCCAAGGGGAGGGTCGGCTTTGCGTCCGCGGACCCCCCCCCCCCCCCTCCAAATAATAGTGGATCCGCCCCTGATATGTATGCTAGTATTTTTCTCTATATATTTTCTGCTTACTGTCTTAAAATCGGCAAGGATTCTTCTCTACATATTATCTGTCGATCATTATGTCATAACATTAAAAACAGACAATTGGTTTTCTTATTTATTTAAATTAAAAGATACAAAACAAAGAAAACTCTGATAAATTATGACATCAGGTGAAATAAAACCGAATGTGCACCAACTGTATCATTAATTCAATATAACAACCTAAAGTTTAACTAAATACGCACATCCCACTTAGTTTTTAAATGTATTTTATCCATGTGTAATAATACTATTGATTGATTTTCATCTATCATAAGTGATCAGAAGCAACTTCGAATGTAACATATGAACTATCTAAAGACAAAATAAATAAATGAAATACTAAAAAAAGTCTGAATTTATTCAATTTCTCATTTTCAAAATGACAAAGGGGTGGTGTGGTTACAAAATACGCCCTGCAATATCTGTGCGTTTAGTTTATAAAATAAATTCAAAAGAAAAAAATCTTGGTGTCCGCCGTCATTATGTTAAACTATCGCCTCACTCTTGTTGGTGAGAAAAAGAAAAATAATAAAGAGCGAGTAAAAATAAGTTCCTGGGTCATTTACGATTATATGTCTTCTTATGTTCAAAACACCGGTGCCATATTGGCCAGGGAAAATGCGTCTCGATGGGGCGTTATATGGCAGTCCAATTAAAGTTTTTAAATACATGAATAATGGTTGTCGTTCTTCTTCAGCAAGCTTTTAAATGGTCAAATATACATAGGCCTTTGGTTTGCATGTAACGAAAAGGCAATCCGGATGAATCCCTATAAACAGTAGGCCTAGCTTGTCTCCCAGAGGCCTTTCCCAATTCGGGTTCTCAAAATGACGACCAAATGTCTTAAATTCCTTAAAAATCAATTTGGTGGCTTGTACAGTTTCAGTTTCGCCATCAAAGATACGAACTCTCCTAGGTCTATGGTGTTGTCTTCTCCTCGCGCAGAGGACGTGATGAAAAAGTCGATCTCTTTGTCCTGCAGGAGACGCCCATTGACTGTCATGGCTGCCAATCCTTTGCGTGCTTCGTTGACATCCAGAGCTCCACTGTCGTCTTCGTCAAGTTCATGAAATTTAGCGACAATTTCCTGCACACTGAAAGAAAAAACGTTTTGCACATATATTTAATTAAATAAGAGACAGTGGTAATTGGAATCTGTGGGTTTACATTTCTCTTGATATCAATGGTAACAGTTCGTGAGGCAGTAATAAAACGTTTGTTCGAGAACGGCCACTTTTTAAATTTCATCATAGAAATACGAAAATAAACGATAAGGTGCAAGGTGAGATCGTGTCATTGCTGTTCGATCTTTATGATATCGCAGTGAAATTCTATTCCAACAGTTAGATCAACATTGTAATATCCAAAAAATGAACACAATCACATGGCACATGTGCCTCTAGAAGCCTTCACACCTAACGCAATATAAGAGCTTCAAATATCCGCTTACTAAGCTAGGCTCTCAAATGCTTTAGAAGATAAATGGAAACAGAATGAATGACACAACTTCCATTTCATGCTACCTGTTGCCCGTCATCATATAAAACTGCTGGAACTCCCAAATGCTCATCACACCATTGCCGTCCTTATCGAAGTTGTTAAAGATGGCCTCTGCCTCATCTGGCTTCAGCTTGAACTCTTTCGTAAGCATTTTCATCGCCTCTGGCCTTTTTAGGTTTCTCATGTTTCCCCTGATGTATTTGTCAAAGATGTCTTCCACTTCTGGCCTACAATTGTTCAAAATATTGCATTTCATTTCTAACTGGACAAAATCAAACATTGAGTGATAAAAACTCGTAAACAATTCAGCGTGAGTCGTGATTACCATAACATAAATAATTAAAAATGTTCTCATTTCACAAACAAAACTGTTAGTTGGTCTTTTTCCAAAAATATTTTAAGCGTTATTTATTTTTGTTGTAACCTGTAATACAGATAGATCATAGGCTATGACACAAACAAAAAATTGTCAAAATAAACCCTCTGCCTACTACCACTCCAACTGTTTAATAATACATGTATATCAACGTAATTGTGCAGTGGTTTTCATGGTAATGACAAGTTTAATATATCTTGTATTTAAAATTGTTGACAGTTTTGAAACCACCTGCCATTAAAACAGCAGTAGCTGTAAGTTTAAGAAGCGTCTGCCAAGTTTAGGTGCATCGAGGAGCTCAGCGAGCGCTGCCTGGAATCCAGCAGGTGAAATTGGCAGGTACAGGTACAGGTATACAGAGCCAAAACCCCAATACCATTCCGTTAGCCATACAAATAACCTTAGATACAGTTTCAAAATCAACTGCGGTTCCAGTAAGCCACGTGCCCCAATTCCCTGCTTTGTAAATAGTAAAGTCCGAAAATAGTAATGTAAAACTGTAAAACTGCACAGGGACTACAACAAGCAAAACGAGAAGAGGAAAACAAGCAATTTTACCATCTCTTTGTCTTATATATCATGGTAAAAATTCCCCGTATACTTTTTGAATTGAAGAGAGGAAAAAGGACAAAAATAATTATCCTTGTGATCCCATCAGCAAAACCCTGGCTCTGCTGTTGAAATTGGAATCAGGTGGGGGACTAGACAGCAAGCCCAGTAACTATTTGATTCACGTGGCAAATCTTCGGGGGTATAAAACTTATTTTCACAGAACGGAGAAGTTGTAAAGGTTGAAAGGACCAGGAACCGACATGACCACTTAAGTTCAGAAATAAATTCCAGTGCAAGATGTTCAACCTCAGTTCGACTTAGAGCGTGCAAAACAGTGTGTGTGTGTGTGTGTGTGTGTGTGTGTGTGTGTGTGAGTGAGTGTGTGTGTTTGTGTGTGTGTGTATTGATTATTTGATAAAAATATCTATTTGACGCAGATTTAATTATCATTTTGTTACCTAGCACTCGTTTTGTTTTAGGTAGAAAAAATCTAACCATGCGAATTCTGTGCCAGCATGAAAATTTTGCCAAAGAAGTGGCCTTACAATTCCTCATCTTATACTGGTATGTACAGGAGCTGCCTTGGAATGAACAGGGGAAATATTTCCCAGCATATATAAGTAGTTATTTTTCTATTTCTGAATGTATTTTCAGTACAATCCAGGGAAGAAGAATTAGAGCTGGAGCAACTGAGACAGAAGAACTGTAAAGACGCGCAAGCACAAACATTCAGACATATTCCAACTTGCTCGCTCACGTTAAGGAATACACACTCATACACACGAGTTCTCACATGCACAGATTGACAGTAACACAGCCATGTATGTTCACGTACGCACGTACACACACGCACCAAATCACTCGCACGCGCTTATGCCTGAGCAAACGCTTCTACACATGCATCAGGACTTCCTTCAACACAGTTGAAGATGCAGCAGCTAATAACAACAATATTAGCTGTATACCGACTGCCGCTTAGTGTGTTTTAATTTGTTTACTATCACTTATACTGTCATTTATCGTACTTCTTTTTTCTTTCTTTTTTGTTTCAATGTGATCAATTGATGCAGGTTTTTTTAAAGGTGGATACTTACGCGATCTTTCTGTTCTTGCTTGCCATTGTGCTGCTGTCAGATTTCACATATATAAAACCCCTTTGGAGATCTGAAATAGTGTAGAAAATAGAAATATTATCTAATATCCCTCTGTCTTGACGAGGAAACAGAATTAAAAGGATTGGGGGGCGATCTTCATATCTCCATCTCATTAAGCGAAGAATGCCGTTTTGATAACTTATCTTGTGAGATTTTCTCCAAAACCTATCCCATTTAGTCATCATTTATGTTTTCTTTGGAAGAAAGGTGCACGCCTTTATTGGGTTTATCATGGACCTATACCAGTTTATTTTTTATAACTCAAAAGAAACCCACATTATGGCCCCTTTACCTTAATGGATCGCCCTGAGGGTGACGTGAACTTACTCTAGTAATGGGGATAAAGAACCAGCTGACATTTCCCCTAGCCTTTTGCAGCGTCTTGTGCCCGGTTACTAGGATTTAATTAGAGCATAAACACCAAAGAACAACTAAGTTGGTATTTCAAGTTAATTTGGGGGCTATATTTGTGGTGGAAGGGCACGATGTCGAACGTATTTAAAGCGGAATTGACGTGCTGTAAACGCACTTTACACACGTCTTTGTAATGTTGATAAATGACTCTCTTCCGTTGCTCCAATTATTTCATATTTTAAACCAACGTAAAAATATTGTAGCATGTACGTATTGTGCATACAGACTCTTCTTCGGCGCGCGAGTGCGCGTGTGTTTGAGGGGCGTTTATGTTTGAGTTTAAACATGTGTCAGGATATGTGCGTGTGAGGATTGGAAATGATGAAGCCAATGGGGAAAAATGACGCGAAAATGTGACTGATACATGTAGCATGTCCCGTGCTAGTATACATGTAGTAATGAATAGATAAATAGCTTTTTGTCAGTTTAGTGTGGAAAGCCTTAGAAACAAGATCAAAAAAAAAAAAAAAACCACCAAAAACCTACCAAAATACACGACAGAAAGTAGATTGCTTTTTCTGACTAAATGTTACTGCATAATTCTCTTTCCACCCACTACATATGTAAACCAAAACACTGTTTTTGGGCTGTTTAAACGAAGAAAACTACAATTAAGACAAACACTCCGTTATCAACTTTTTCAGTTTAGATGTGCGTACCTTCGGCATGAAAAAAACGCAATCAAGGAAGCGGGCAATATTCAAAAGTATATTGATGTTTATTATTTTGTAAATGAAGCTGTATATCAAAAAATAAAACAATTAGCCCACATTACAGACACTGTCCATGCAGAGAGAGAGAGAGAGAGGTATTTTCATCAACCAACGCTCACAATCTCGCTAATCGAATCTGCAACCTTATTTCTGTTCCATCATTTTTCACCTGCCAACTGACAACTGCGGCGAGCCTTATTAAACCCGTCAAACCGCACGTGAGACCCTCGGCCACAGGAGCCCCGGACTAGCAGGGTTTAACCCGCATTCGACCGCCGACGAAAAGGCCGAAATTAAACAAAACTTGCATCTGTGTAAATAGCACAACCTGCGCTCGGCCAGCTTGCACAGAGAAGACTTCAGACGGAAACAGGTGAAACTAGATACCAGGTTAATTAGTGGGTTGATGTGATGAAGAAGGACGGGATGAGCAACCTGCAGGGTGAATATCAAGATCTGTACACAGATTCACACCTGCGCGGTTAATTTTTAGATTAAGTGGATCAGGGTGTGGTTCATATTTTGCCACATTTATTTACGAATCTATAGGTATTTCCTTTTTTTCAAAATAAAAAAACGTTTTCCGATTATTATATCGGTGGTATTTTCCAATTATTATCTGATGGCATTTTCAAAATAACAAAGTGTTCAATGAAGTATTAATTGTTATTATCATAATCATGGTCCTAGACAGACACCCTGAAGTTAAGATCCTGTCGGAGTGATCCTGGTCTTAGACAGACACCCTGAGGTTCAGAACCTACAGCCACTGACAACGTGCATACATGTATTATACAAATGCATTGCTTTTCACTTACATCAGTACACACTGCTAGTATCTTACTTATAGACTGAGACAATGAACATGTGAAATAAAAGTGGTATACTTCTTACTGATACACAGGTTTTTTCCTTATGCTGGTGTTACCATTACTCACTTAAGAGACACATATGGATTGCGGCACAGTTGCATTTCTAACCTTACATTAAAAGACTGCCTTAAAAACAAAACAAAAACTGAGAAACCTGTTAGCGTGGGGGTGTGGGTGGGTGGGTGGGTGGGAATGGTAGTTCGGAGGGTTCGACAGAACCGCGCTAGCGCTTTTGGTCGGAAAATACCCGATCTGAATTACAATTCGATCTAGATGCCATGGAATTTTTTTCAAGTTGGGTCATCTAAGGCGGTAAAAAAGGTTCACGTTTTTAGAAAAAAGACCCCCGTTTGCCATTGCTGACTACAGACCTGCCAGAACTATGATAAGCTCTTCAACTGAACTTTTCATAACTACATTATAATGCAGTGTGTAGGTTAAGAAGGCACCGGCTGGCAAGCACTTTAAAATCTCTAGAGAACTCGGGATCTTCTTCTAAATCAAAAGAAATGTCTTCTAAACGAAATGAAGATCGTCTATCACTTAATTTTGTGTTATATGGGTGTACTCTGATAGTAAAGGGCAAACGTATCTTAAGTGGGCCCGGGCATACTATTAAGAAAGAAAAACGTTATCAGCAAATGCGGTCAGCGCCTTAATGGGAACATTTGTCTCACAGAGATACTTGTGAGAATTTTGAAGGCACCATTGACAACTGCTTATCTTCGCCCTCTACTTCTCACCTGGAGCACCTAAATCATGGTCGACATGGCTGTTGAGTTTACAATTTTGCAGGCAGAAATGTTCTAGAATTCTAAAGGTGTGTGTGTTGGGTACCACTCCGTGTTGTGTAGGCTTTCTGAGAGTGGGCAAAACGTACTCAGAATAAGCGGACGTCGCCTTAAGGGGAATATCAGATTCAAAGAGATATTTGCGGGGGATGCTTGTGAAAACATTTAAGCCATCATCAAAAACCACAGTGTAATTAAGTAATTTGAGTTTAAGATTTTGCTGTAAGAAATGTATTGGGCATACGCCCCTGTTGTGTATAGGCCTGTAAGAGTAGAAATAGAATATATACTGACAGCGCCTTATCAGGAATATCAGAGAGTTTGGCAGAGATTTCTGTGGGGGATAATTATGTTGTAGAAAACATTTGGTCATCATCAAAAACCATAGCTACCTTCAACTCTTTATGTTTTTTCTAGGTAAAAAGCAAACCTTGACCCAAATCACTGTGAGAAGAAAAAAAACTATTACCATGAAGATGTGTGGTCCGCACCAAACGTAAACATATATATCTTGGGACGGAAATGCCGATATAACTTCTGGTTTTTCAATCCCGGTGCTCTTAAGGGTCGTAGCTTCACTTTTTCACTGCCCAAATATTTGGCACAAAAATATCAGCGCTTTTATGGGTCCGTTCACAATGAAACTATCGTAATAGGTAGTTCAAACAAACTTCGAGGTGACAATCGCTGAATGGAAACTGATTAATACGCCTCCTCCTGGTGTTGAGTAGAATATATATATACATCAAAGCCGGTACAATTATACGAGTACACTGTTAATCTGTTTATCTGGTTGCATGAAGCGAGAGACCCCAAGGAGTTAGTTTAATTCATTGTGAATGCGCCTAATGGTAGTCTGTACGGAGAAAATATATACGTGGTCAGCGTCTCAATATGAACATGTGTTTTACAGATAAACATGAAACCACCATTGAAAATACATGGTCAATCCTGATGCAATTAACAGTCTAAACTCTACCGCCCCATTTCTTTCTTACAATATTTAAAGCATATGCTATATGGCAATTAAACCCATGATTTAGTTGGCAGAACACGGAAATTCACCCATCTCGGACCTGGCCTTTTCCTCTACACATTTAATTGGTTTTACCGAAACTTGGAGAATCTTACACACATCAAATACACCAACTTTCTCGGTTGCACTACGCGAGGTTGAAGCAGCTCGTACATAAAGTTTATGTTGGCAGGAACATCCACATCATTACAGACGTAACTCTGAAACTTGCAAACACCATTTGGTGTAGAAACTGCATGTGTGTTATTTGAATTTTGATTTCTACAATAAAAACTTATTTCTGATTCTGTTGATTTCTGTTTTTTTTTTTTTTTAAATAAAGTTCGTTATGATCGTACACGAACGTTTTGATACCATATGCAGTTTGGTTAATAGATACACAGATACGGAAGAATTGACAACGCAACATATCATGATTTGAGTACTCTCAAGATATGACAACACAAAGTGGCACCGGTGTAATGAATCGCATTACCCTACTACCTGGAGTGTGTGTTCATCTTTCATTTAAACGGAACCTCATTATCAATTTGCCATAATACTGTAGAATTTACCAAAGTATGCTTCTCATTTACAAAGTTAGATCTGAAGTTTTAACATTGTATAACAATTTGCGAGAGAGTATCTTATTTAGGGTCTAACTTTGATATTCTACATACCTTGATTCACATTCAGAAGTATAAAAGCGTCCAAAATCGAAATTGCAACGCTCAGCCAAACTCTGTTGGAACCCGTCTGTTGATATGAAAGTAAGCCTTAGTCTAAACAATGTCCGTTGTATCTAAACCTGAACATCTACACTCGGATTAGATGCACCTTACCTTTCTAAATTTCTGCACCTCCGTTTCCTTAATTCTCTCAGACTACCAAACAGAATTCCAACAATTTCCCTAAATGTTGACAGAAAACTTTTTTTAAAGATTCGTCTCGTCTGGATCGCAGTGTAGCTAAATCCCAGCCGAGCGGAATGTGGCTTCTTAATCTAGTGCGCAAGGTAAATATGAAAGCGCAGTTTTCCTGATGTATCTACGTATATTTTCACAGCAACTAACCAGTACCCCCTAGAGCTTTCTACTGCATTACTGAGGAGAGGCGAGTCCAGCTCAGTTGTGGCGATGCTCAGAGTGACGTCATCGAATCATCCAATTCGGCAAATACAAGAACGGCTTCCGCTTCTATTCCAATAAAATATGATGACTCGCTGTTAGGTATAAAATGTTCTGTTTCTTTTTCCCAGTCGCCAATTCTCTCCGATTATCATTATCCGAAAAAGTCTAAATTTTGTTTTTCAATCGTGTCTAAAGGATTAGTTCTCGGATGTACAATCTAAAACAAAAGTTATTTTATATAACTTTTTTGTTAGCAGAGACAGAGCGAGTTACCCCCTTTTCAGGACTCTATGAAGATCGATTATTAATTAACTTGCTTGTGTATACTGATATTTTGGGCACAGGAACTTGCGTTATTCCGGACTAACGTCACTGATGGCTGCGGTCTCTCGTTATGAGCTCATCAGATAGTTAGCTTGTTGTCTAGCTTTATGCCTTTTATGCCTGTTTACTTTTTACTTCAGCATTATCTTCTTCTATGCAGCATGATCACTCAAACAATGAGAGAGAGAGAGAGAGAGAGAGAGAGAGAGAGAGAGAGAGAAAAGATGTAGGTCTATACGCCTTTCTGGAGTTTGTCTTGCTGTAGGCCTACACTTCGACTTTAACAAATGAAGTACATGAACAGTAATTGGTGCTTCATTTACTAGTACGTTTGGTGGGCATGTGGACTTTCCAATGGTTCTTTAATGAATGCACCCGCGTTCCCGCTGTTTCCCTGAGGCATGGTGCCTTGCAGATATTTGTCTAAAGGTGCATGCACGAATCCTACGCGATTATGTATTTCCACGTTTTGACAGATTCATCTTCTAGTTAGGTGTGTAATTCACCGTTGAAAGAACTCTAACAGATTTACCTGTGTTTTGACGAAATGCATGTAAAATATCGGTAAGTCTGTTTTATTGTTATTTTTATTATTATTATTATTATTTTTTTTTTTAAAGATATAATGAAAAGGGACGCATTAACTAAAGATAACAGGACCGTACCCAGGCGTTCGACTATACGCGCATTAAGCATATGCCGAGTTTACTACAAATACAAGCATTTTTATGGTTGTTGCGTAAATAATAATATCCCAGCACAAGGTGCATCAGGCCACTGGTCAGATTGAAGAGTTATTAACCTGAAAAAAAACGAAGGAAATGTTTGATTTTCTTGGCAGAAGAAAAGTACAAGAAAAGTCACAGTAGCTCCTTTTCCATCTTCCGAATGATTACACAATACATCAAATTATCTATATTTTTTTGCTGTTTGCTCAATACATAACTGAGAGTTTCGACTTGCTATTACCTAAAACCAGTGCAATTTGAAAACAGTGCGCACTGTGCCAAAACATTGCAAATGTTTTCCAGCTTTTCAGTTGGATACCGGTGACTTAATCAACGTACCAGGTAATTTGCCTACTTCTACAGCGATAAAAAGTGCTTCTGCAAGATGCAGGATTGCAGTTGTACGTTTGATATCTTGTAGCATTTAAAGTAACGTAAGACTGTTGGTGGCTGAGCGGACAATTTAGTGCCTTTTGGATATTTAGGCTTTATTGTGTACATTGAACATGCACAAATAATTATCCGTATGTGTTTTATATCTTGTAGATTTTACGCAAGATGCTCGGCTGGCAGTTGAAATGCCTTTTGGATGTTATTGCTCACACTCAGTTCGCAGCAAAAAGCAGTTTTATTATATACATTTGAACATACACAAATATACTACGGGAGCGTTTATTACCATGTAATATTTTACACAAGATATTAAGATGGCAACTGGGTGCCGTTAAAGCATTTTCGCTAACGCTCCGTCCGTAAATAATGGCGGTTTTATAACATACATTTTAAAACACACGACTAACATCATGCATGGGTTTTATATCTCGTAGATTTCCCGCAAAGTATCCAGTTGGCAGTTACATGTTGTGTATACTTTTGCTCACACTCAATTGGTCACAGATGGTAATATAAATTTTATTGTCTTCATTCGTGTAACCCTTGCCATTTTGCAAAGGAATCGTTACTTAACTATAAGTGAGGCTTATCGATATCAATTTTACATGGACCAGTCTGATAAAATAAAGCTGCTGCTAAAATGTTACGTTCTGTTTCGTTTGGTTCGCACCGAAGAACACCCACAGGGAATCGGCCCAACTATAACATCACCTTTATAAAGTAGTTAATGTGAAAATGGGAGATAAAAGCCGCCGCCAATTACACCGGTTGCCGGGACTGTTGGTGGAAACGTGAATCACACAAGTAGTATGTGAAAAAGTTTGGAGTTCATCGAAAATTTGGTGAACCTTCAGATACGCTCCCGATGGCAGTTACCTACCCTCTACCAGGGCGGCACACATTATAGGCACATTTTCCACCCGCCAGTTGGAAGATTGACCATATTTATCCGGAGACATTATCTTTGAACATCTAGTAAAAAATCAATCTGTGGCCCTGGTAGAGGGTAGGAGTTACTCCGAGTATCACCTCCCCACTGCCAATAGGTAAATACTTCTTCAATTTGCAGTGACGGCTGTAAGAAGAGAGGCGAGCTTTTGTGAGACTCTGAAACACGGGGCGGTGAACATCGAAACTTGGCGCGCGAAACTGTTTCAGAATGCTTCTTGTTGGTGCCCACCCGAATATCACCCGAATATCTACCAGGGCTACAGTTCTCATTGTAGACATTTTTGCTGACGAGCAGTACAGAGATTAGCCATCTATTTAACCAGAAACATATCTGTTATTATCTAGTGAAAATTCAATCTGTGGCCCTGGTAGAGGGTACCCAAATACAATCATTTTGGGGCTTTGTTGTTATGTTGCAATTTCGTGAACTCGATGAGGGTCAAAAAAAAAAAAAAAAAAAAAAAAAAAAAACACTCTCATATATACTTAAGTAATATGTACTAGAAAATGCCTAACAACATCAAACTGTGCATGGCGTGATGAATGTAAGAATAACGTCATTACAAATCCTCTCAGTTGGATGCACATAAAGTATATACAAAGTTTCTCCAGAAATAGTTTTATTATATCAATCATTAGATCACTATTCATTAAGGGTTTAGCGTGTCTAGACTAGTGATTTAATCATCGCAATTTTAGACACTGTTATCTTGGTCTATTTTTTGCTGTTCGACATTGTTTTCGATGTTTTCGATATTTTCAATATGATAATAAGATTAAATGATTATCAACTCTGCCAGTAAAAAGTCGTAGCAATTATCACATAGATGCAGTACAAAATAGGAACACCAAAAAACAGCATGTTCGATTCACAGAATTGTAGATTAATAGTGCATGTTTATGTAGGTAATAAAAAGGAAACAAAGGCGCCAGTCATTTTTCTCGATGCTGGTTTCTCTCTCTTTTATACTAGGGCAGACTGATACAGTGTAAGTGCAGTTCGATTCCCCGTGTATTTCACACCGTTTTTAGATCTCTCTTTATATTCAGAAGATTTCCTAAGTTATTGCCTATCGTAAAGAAGATAACCTAGCATTTGGGTATATAGCAATGGTTGCTGAACAACTAAGCTCTTTGAAGCACTTTCCGAGGGTGGTCCGCTGTTATTTAGAATAATTAAAGAGTAAATTGAGGAAGGTGACCAGTGGGATCTGCATAGCAAAGATGACATTAGATAGATAAGTATGAAGATCTCGTCCGTCAATCTGACCGATTTCTGACCCCCTGAGAATCGATAAAATATCAGCGTGTACTCCACCCACTTCCAACCAGTTTCACGGCACTTTACAAACTATACAATTATGTTGTATTCTTAAGCGTCATATATCTAGCTACATTGAAGCACCTGTGCCATATCGCTGATTGCAGGAAATACCTTGTGGTCAGGTAGAGCATCCTGTATAATACTTAGGTCAACGTTAAGAAAAACCAAATTGTTTTGCTGACTGGAGTAGGCCTAAAATGGATGGGCTGTTTCAAAAGTTTGCGTATTTTGGCGGACATGCGCTAATTCTAACCACAACGGAGTATTGACTTAACGCGATTTCGAACATGTAACAAGGGTAAATAATACGAAAAGGATATGCAAAAACATAATATTCGTCCGGTCCCTATACTTTCTCCTAACTTTGATGGGTGCGATTTGTTGGTTATGAAAACCGACAACAACCTCATATGTAACGTGTAACACACAAATCACAACCAATCATTTTCTATCCTTTTAATTCGTACCACCGCCCCTTTTTTCCGTAAAAATATTGAAATATGAAAATATAAATGTAGTCGTATTCATTTCCAACAGTTACCAGGGGGAACTTGAATTATTATCATCATTCACTACGAAACAAACGCACTGATTAAAAAAGTGCGTTGTATTAGCCGGTTTTGAAGTTTAAAGAGCAACTTTTGCCGCGCAACAATTCTTGATCTGTAATCTTAATATAAAATCAAGAATTGGCGCAGGATATACTTCAAAGCACAAGAGGTGTGGACCCTAAATAAATCAAATGACCAGTATCAATGAGAATATACTCTGTGCATACTTTTTGTTTCAGTCATATAATGTATCGAGAGATCCCAAGTAATCGCTTCATTACTTAAAACATCTACAATGCCTTTGGCACATTAAATTAATTGAATAAAAAGATTTAATACAACAAAAATCCCATGAACCATCCTCCAAATACATGAATCAAAAGTTGAATTAGAGCCAGATAAAAGTCCTAAAAGCGCCAGCTACATGATTTAACACAGTTAGCAGCTAGAGGGTTAAAATACTTAACAACCCTTCAAACTCTCATCGTGAGTTAAAGTGCTACTCGGCGTTTCTGTGTAGTCTGAGAGGCACCACGCTTTCCTGGAGATCACGCCGATAACATTTCATCTACTCAGACATTTCAGAGATGTTCATCCATTGATTAGCTTATATTTGACCGCGGATAGTTACCGCTTTTTACATCTCCTGAAGAGAGACATAGAGGGAGCGTTATCCAGGAAAACTGAGCTTTAAATATCAGGGTATTCTGGCTGCTCTATTGGAACGCCTTAGTTTTTTTTTATTGAAGATGGCAAAAACACATTACATTACATGCCACCTTTTTATTTTCCTCCCTTCTATTTATTTTTAATGCATATTTTCTTCCTTTGATTTCTCTCAAAACTACCCCAAAAACGTTTCGATATTTGATATTGATTCAGAAGTTTGTCGATAATTACAAAACATTCTNAAAAAAAAAAAAAAAAAAAAAAAAAAAAAAAAAAAAAAAAACACTCTCATATATACTTAAGTAATATGTACTAGAAAATGCCTAACAACATC